TTCCACGCGGACGAAGTCGCGGGAACAGCTAGTATTGAATACATATCGTCTTACATCTGTTACTTAGAATTTAGCGACATCGTAAAATGATATTGCAATGCTGCAAAATCGTTGGTTATCTATTTATATGGCGCTAACATCATTTATGTATTTGGGTCGATTAATATTTATATCGTAGCTGCACCGCGACTTCGTCCGCGTGGAATTTAACTTTATTTTTCTAAAATAAAAGTAGCCTAAGTTACTCCTTATTACATCAGCTATCTGCCAATAAAACTCCCGTCAAAATCGGTACACCCATTTCAGAGATTAACCGGAACAAAAAGAATTACTTCAATTTGACTACATGTTAATATAACTATTGCAACACTAATACTGCGTTCTGTTTTTAAACTGGATAGTCCTGGTTTTTTACTTTCAATTCTAGTTTTTTAAATATGTGCTTGGCAACCCTAATGTATATAGACTGTTACCGTTTACCATCCATGGACCATCCACTTGCTTACCATTCCAATTAGATATATAAAAAAATCCTCGTTCACTAAATATTTAACTGTCTAGTGTACTGTATACATCTTATCGCGATAATATATATCGCTTTCGGAATCGAACCGGTGACCTTGCGCGGTCAGGGTCGGCGTCAATGTCGGTCATTCTTATTCAAATAATACTATCATTACTACATAATACGTGGAGCAATCGTTAGGTTTTGTATCTAGACTAGCTTTTGCCCGCGGCTTTGCTCGCGTTAAGAAATATTATTATTAGGTATAGTTTTTGCGGCTTTACAGTACTTTCATCACCTATTTTATCCCCTTAGGGATTGAATTTTTCAAAATCCTTCCTTAGGGGATGCCTACGTCATAGTAGCTTTATGTATGCAAAGTCTCAGCCCGATCGGATTAAAATTGACAAAGTTTCATACAAACTTTCATCCCCTATTTTATCCCCTTGGTGGTACAATTAATCAAAATTCTTTCTTAGCGGATGCCTACGTCATAACATCTACCTGCATTTCAAATTTCAGCCCGATCCGTCCAGTGGTTTGGGCTGTGCGTTGATAGATCACTATGTCAGTCACCTTTGAGTTATATATATTTAAATTGTTTAGTTACGTATACACTAACTAGAGTGAAAAAGTCGTCTTTTTCGGACTTCTCTAATGCTGTTGGCCGCAGCTGGCCTTTACAGCTTCATGGGACAAGTGCAGATGACACTCCAAACCAAAGGAAGGACTTATTGAGCGGCTGAAGATCAAGTCCCGCCTGATGGATGACTTTAGTCTGAGGGCACCGCTAGGGGTTCTGACCTCGCTAGGGGTGTTGAATTGGACGGGGGACGGATCGCAGTAGCAAAAAAGTCGTCTACGTGTACGGACGTTTTCTCTAGAGACTACAGCATGGGGTTTTTCAAGAAGAGTACATTTAGGTTACTTAAGGGTCGGCAACGTGCACGTGACACTCCTGGTGTTTCAGGATTTCATAGGCTACGGTACTGTTTACCATCAAATGGGAGATATGCTTGATTGCCATCATTGGGGTATAAAAAATAACTACCAAACTGTGTAAAAACTCGTCTGCGTGTGTAACCTCAGTCTCACCTATTTCAGCCGCCAAGCAGCTTGCTTTGTAAGCTGTTTCGGTTGTAGGGTGCAGACTAGGCAGTGAAATTACAGAATCAGAGGCAGGACATCGTAATAGCTTTAATAATGTACTAATTACTTTAATAGTTCGTCTTAGACTGACTATCATTGCATTTCGCCCAATTTACGTAATATCTTTTTAAATTATAGTGATTTGGTATGATAGTAGGGGCTCTTTTATATTCAGGTTGGTTATGTATATTATTATAATAAGAGTAAATTGCAACCATAAATAGTATAAAATAATTAATAATAAAGGCACAACAATTAATCAGTATGTGTGCAGAAGATGCCATTTTGTTATCTATTTATTTTTCCCGCGGTAATACGTAATGCACCACAGATGCGCAATATTGCGCGGTGCACAGATTACTGCATCTGGACGACGACCGCGTTATAGCTGTATAGCGATGTTAATACTATAGTAGTATGAGTATGAACATAGCGTATGTGTTATTCTGGTGTATAAGCTATATCTTATATATAAAATTCTCGTGTCACAGTTTTCGTTCCCATACTCCTCCGAAACGGCTTGACAGATTCTCATGAAATTTTGTGAGCGTATTGAGTAGGTCTGAGAATCGGCCAACATCTATTTTTCATCCCCCTAAATGTTAGGGGTAGTCCACCCCTAATTTTATTTATTTTATTTTAAGGCAAAACAACGTTTGCCGGGACAGCTAGTATACTATAGTTTCATCAAAATCCATTTAATATTTATTGCGTGAAAGAGTAAAAAACATGCATCCATCTTCATCTCTCATCTATACTCACAAACATTCAAGTTCATAACATTAGTAAGAAGCAAGATAATAACTTCATGCTCATTTTATCATCCTCCGCTGGTGCCCCGCTAGTGTAAACCGTTAGCGCAGGTGCACCATTCTATTATAATACATACATTATAATTGACGGCCTCCGTTGTCTAACGGTTTAGCGCACCGCTTTACTTCGGATGGTCACAGATTCGATTATAGCAGAAAACCAACGTTCGTATTAATAAGTATGATTGTATTGATTTAGGTGTTTATTATATATGTATTGACAAAAAAAATGCATTTAAGTATTTATATCAGTTATCTAGTAGGTAACCCAATACACAAGCTTTGCTTAGATTTTTTTTTAAAGGATGATAATGGAACTATTCTCCCGACTGCATTAACAGTTTACGCTGGCGGGGCACCAGTGTAGGATGATCGGATGAGCATGAGATCAGGTCAGTTAGCTCATCGTGACAAATTCACCAGGAATTTACCTGAGATTAGAGCTAGATGACACTGTGTGAATTGTTCTAGGTTGTTATTATTATTATTATTATTAATCCATTAAAAAATCATTACTCTTCAGTCTTGCTGTACTTGTCATTGTGTATAAAAAGATAGTAGCACTCCTGAGAATAGAACCCACACCTGGTGGTCTATAAATACATGAAAATACATGCGATTCACGTCTAAAAATAAATACTCAGTGCAGTCTTAATTTATCCCGTACTAGCTCATAGCGCGTCTACGTTCGCGAAAACAGGATGTAATTATTGAACAGCATTTTTTTATGTACTATATATAACGAAACTCCTAGAGCATTTTTTATATAAGGTAGAGCAAACAAGCTGACGACCCTTCTGGCGGTATATGGTAATCATCATATATACACATAAAAAAAAAGAAAAAGCTAGCTTTAAAAAAAATTAAATATAATTGTTTTGTACCAGTTCTTCTGAATTGAATCTGTACACTGAACAGGATGATAGGGGAAAAAATATACTTAAAAACTTGACATTCATAGGGGGCAAAAATATCCTATATGAATGAAATATAAACTATTTTTGATTTGATTTGAACTTTGTAGGACATAAAATTGTCATGTGGTCCCCAGGGTACATATATGACCATTGCAGAGGACTATTATGCCTCCATACCCTGTAATTACACTGCCATATTGAAGATAAAACCAATCAACAAAATAGCTAGGACTGGTAGGCAAAAGGAGAGCAGGTAGATATCGAAGATGGTCCGATGACATCAAAGAAATAGCAGGGATGGATGGAGTTTAGCTATGAATATAAAATCATAGAGCAAGTTGGAGGATGATTTTACTCATGGGACCATATATAATAAACTTAAAATATATATTTTAAATTGTAATCATATGGAACATAAAAATTATATAAATAATATATAAAAATAAAAATTGTAGACAAAAAGAGCATAGTTAAAACTCCTCTGCAGCGGAGAGAAATGGGATTGTTAGTAATGTGGACTGATGATTCCAGTGCTAGCAATGTAGTGCAAGTTGACCTCCATGTGGTTCCCCTTGGAAACCATTGTGATAAATTCTAGGTGAATTTGTCACAATGTGCCAACTAACCTGACCTCATGTTCATCATATTGCTGTCCATCTTATCCCAAGTCCCTTCCTTTCCCTTTTCCAAATGCCCTACTTTAATTTAAACATTAAACTGTATTATGATAAAATACAATATCATTTGAAAAGAAGAGTTTCATGCAAATAATGTTTGTTTTAACAGTACATTGTGTACTGAGGATAGGTTCATTTTGTATAGGACCTACATGAATAAAAATATTTTGATTTCATTATTTAATACAGTATCAATGGTGATAGATATATTATTAATTTAATAATATATATATCACCATTATCAACAATCCAATCCCCCCCTATATAGAGAATCTAGACATAACATAGCACTTTCACTTCTTACAACTAATTTGTAAAACAAACATGTTGGCATGATACCATAATGGAAAACCTAAGGCACAAATAAAGTTACCAACAATTGTATTGACTCAGAAACATTTTAATATACAAAATAAGTTTAATATTCAAAGCTGAATGTAAAAAAAACATTGTACACAATATCTTTAATGCTAATTAAAAAATTTGCAAATCTTACATATTATATATTATATTACTAACTACTATCTAGTTAATTAAATTCCATATGGTATCTATATTTGTAAAAAATTAGGAAACTATTATGTTGATAGGAAATAAAAACACTTTCAGTTAATTGTTATTTAGACAAAAAGCATCTTATTTCCTTCTTTAGAGAAGCGATTTATGCCCATTGACCTCTAAAGCAGTCTCAAATTGATCTTCATTCAATTACGATACACAAATAACCAACAGCATAGTGCTCTAATAAAATAAAATTATTCATCATAAAGATAGAAACCGAAAGTAATTTTGTTGATGTAACGCGGGAAATAATTACGTGCATCTTTTTTTTTTAATTACTAAATGAAAAGACATTATAATATGCTGCCATACGACACCGCTGGAGAATAGCCCGGCATCCAAATAAAGACAACAAATGACATTAGGAACATTTACTGACCTGTTTATAGACTTCACGATGCCTGTGCTATAAAAATGAGATTCCATCTGAGAGTTCACACAACAAATATTTTTAACAACTATAAACACAGTTTATTTCAGACATTAAAATGTTTAGTATTCACGATTTTATTTTGTGACATTCATGAAACCAGCGGACGCAAGCACGGAACGCGTTTCATTCCTATATTTTGATATTTTCATAATTTCATTCCATTTCCAGTCCCAAGTCTCCCACGATTGACAATGTTACCATGTAACTAAATTACCATTTCAAAATGTAAATGTATAATATTATAATGAATTATATATATCACTAAGGGTAGGAATTCATGATTTAAATAGGAAAGTAATAATGGAAATTATATTTTATTATTATATCCTGGTTTTCAGTTACTTTACATTTCCTAAGAGTCCATTGAATATTTCTGGATGAAATGAAACGAAATTGAATGGAATGGATTTGGAACGTCAAATCAAAAATGACTTTGACGTAGGGTTCACAACTCGTAAGTATTTACCCTTATTTTTGGCTTTCAAATCTTATAGAGAAAAATATAACATTTCACATTTATTTTTCAAAAGCGCGCACTTGGATAAAACTCTGTAATAACTTATTTACGCTTATTATTATGATTGTCCAATATTTCCGTGTTTATTCAATGCACATTTAGGTCTAATTCTATTTTTCAATTGTTAATTTATGAAATAAAAAAGATATAAATAGAAAATAAATTCTTTTTCTTCCTAGCTGCTTATATAATGCACCATATCACGTTTTAATTGTAACCAACTTCGAAAGGGATATCGACTCGGCTGCATATTTAACTTTTCTATTCCTTATTAGGTTTGCCAATACAAAAATCAAATTCTATTTCTATTCATGCCATAGTGATTAAATAATTATCATTCAAGGTAAGCAGTCACTACTTCAATTTCCTTAAAATATGTCATAAATTATGATATAATTTAATTCAAACATAATTTTTTGGTGAAATTAAGTATATTATAAATCGTACAGAGACTAATACGAATAAAATAAATGTATCTGTTTAAAGTGGCATGGAATAGCACATAACTTGAAAAGAATCTACTAATCTGTAATATTATTTTATATGCTACTACAGAACCACCTTCATATAAAACTGAATATATAATCATCATCTCAGCCTGGAAGACGTCCACTGCAGGACATAGGCCCAAAGATCTCCCCGACGATCGGTCCTGCGCTGCTCGCATCCAATGGCTTCCATCGATCTTGACCAGATCGTCGGTCCACCTTGCTGGAGGCCTTGCCACGCTGCGTCTTTCGGACCGTGAATATATAATACCATGAGTTAAATTACACTCAGTTAAAACTGTGAAACTATTATTTTTATATACATAATTTGTGATTGTACAAGTTATACTGGTATAAACACTGTGAAAAAAGTGTGACTAAAAATTAAAAACGGGCTGTAGGGTAAATATTCCAAGGTGTTGGTAGCCCTATTTAATTTGAAATATCATAGACATATTCTTATTTTTAATATTTTCTTAAAGTTGTAATTTATAAAATAAATCAATGTATTGATTACGTTCATTGTTTAAGAAATTAATCAAAAACACCACTTAATAATGATTAAGGCAATTTTAGTGTTCAACAACCATGGAAAACCACGGCTATCAAAATTCTATCAATATTTCGTGAGTGAAAGTCTTTTTAAAATGAATTTATATCTGTAATAAATTATTTAATGTTACTATAATATGGCATGAATATGACTATTTCTGTTTTTAAATCTGATAATGATAGAGTGCACCCGCCTGCGTTAAAGGTATACGCTGACGGGGCACCAGTGGAGGATGATAGGCTGAGTCAGGCCAGTTAGCTCATAATGAATTCACCAGGAATTACCTAGTGGAAGTCAAGTTGCCATGGAACATAGCTATCTGTGTCCTTAATACCCATTACTAACAATCCCCTCACCTTATCTATTGGAATTAAGTTTATTACATACCAACTATGGTTAGTTATAAAATATTTAACCCAGAGCCAGATTGTCATCTTTCCAACATGTTCTCTGGTGTCCCTGTCTTCTGGTTCAATTTCTAGGATATCAGAGGCACTTATATGCTCTATTTGTTCATTTTGCATCTTAACATATGCCCTGTCCAACTGCATTTAGAATGATCTGTTCACAATGGTATATCTTTTTTTAATTTAAATTCAAATTTTAATTTTAAAGCCTTTATTAATTGACATATAATCTTAAGAAATATTTATTTAAGTTTAAATAGATACAATATATGTATATATGTATATTATTAGTAATTCTGCACATCAGTCTCTGAGTTAATGTGTCCTTTAGACACAAAGGCCTCTGCTAGCATTTTCCATATATTTTTTCATAATTGGAGCCACAGTGAGATGACAATATTTCTAATGTCATCTGACCATCTTTTGTATTGTCTTCTGCTTCTTTGCTTCATTTTATAGTGGGGAATCCACTCGGTTACAGTTTTTATCCATCTCATATTTGCACTTAATTTGAATGATTTCCACCAAATGCAGTAGATGATTTTGTCAAGTCTTGATTAATGAGATACTGTGGTATGTTTAGGGTTTTCTTGAATATGTTCATAAAAGTTAATAGTATATCTTTTACTTTTTTACTGTAGTCTTCCTTTTTATCTCCCAGTTCATGATTCACCTACCTAGCTGATGTATGGTGAATTTGTCAATGGATATAGATCCTCCCATGCCAATTTCCAACAACTCACCTGCTTATGGTACTGATTGCAGATATTCCAAAAAAAAAGTTTGTGATTCTATCACTTAATCTGAACCTCCAAAAAGGACTTCATTATACATGTATTGCTATTGAATATTTTCAGAATGAGGATATGCAGCAGCAGATCATTAAGGAGACATTCCAGCTCGTCTCCAAGAGGGATGACAATGTCTGTAATTTCCTCGAAGGTGGCAGGTAATATATTTTTTTATTACTGTCTGAGCCCACAACTTTGTACGCCTATAACTTTTTAATATGTAATCTTTTAAGATTAGTATAAAACAAACTAAATCATAAGCTGCAACTCGTCCAATGTCTACTCCAATTACTTTGTCATCCAGAATACAGCAAAGTTTTTTAGGCAGAAGCCTAAAAATGAGTAAATTCAACTATATACTATTAATTTATAAATAACGTTACTAATATTTCAGCCTTATTGGTGGGTCGGACTACAAACTAATTTATAGACACTATGCAACACTGTACTTCGTGTTTTGCGTCGACTCCTCGGAAAGTGAGCTGGGCATCTTAGATCTCATTCAGGTATTAAAAATTTACATGTCATAGGCTTATAACTGTTTTTGACCACAGCCTCGGTGGTCTAGCGGTTTAGCACACCGTTTTATTTCCGATGGTCGGAGGTTCGATTCTTCATATGGTGCATTTGTATTCATGTGTATGGTTGTTTGTATCACTCTGAATGTTTTCTATGTATGTTATGTACGTTTTTACAAAAAAACAATATCTAAGTATTTGTAACAGTTGTTTAGTACCCATAACACAAGCTCTGCTTAGCTTGGGACTAGACCCCGATGTCTGAAATGTCCGGTTATTAAAAAAAAACTAGGCCATGATACTGTTGACAATGTAATAATAATATATTTTTTGTCACACAAAAAAATACTATATATTTTTGTTTAAAGCAATGTCTTACAGACTTATTGAAATCTAAATTAAAATTCATGTAGATTATTTTATATTCCAGTATGTGAACTGTATTTGTTTTATACAGGTATTCGTGGAGACATTAGACAAGTGTTTCGAGAACGTGTGTGAGTTGGACCTGATATTCCATGCTGACGCAGCTCACCAGGTGCTGGATGAGCTGGTGATGGGCGGCATGGTGCTACAGACTAATATGGCTGATATACTGTGCCGGCTGCAGGAGCAGAACAAGATGCAGAAGGCCGAGGTGAGGATTTTTTTTTATTGCAATTAATGTATACTTGCTTATAATGTAATTATTGAATTACAATTTATGACACACGTCATTTAAAAAATTATTAATTAAAAAAAATTTACAAACCACCTTCTTTAGGACTTCTCTAATGCTGTTAGCCGCAGCTGGCCTTTACAGTTTCACCGGACGATAAAGAGCGAGTGCAGATGGCATGAAGTTGGGATGAAGAACTGGCATGAAACTCAATTTATTTACTGTTTTTAGCCTTAAAAAATTATAAATATGTTGTCTCCAGGCGGGTATATCGGCAGCGCCTGCTCGCGCCGTGTCTGCAGTCAAGAGCATGAACCTACCGCAGCAACTGCGAGACATGAAACTACCAGACCTGCCGCAAGCCATCAAGGTATAATAATAATGATAAAGTACTAATAGTTCTGTCATCTACAGAAATTATTCCAAGAAGTCTTAGCAAATTTTCAAATCCCCTTCTCTACAATAGAACTGTTACAAAAAGCCGTCATTCTCAACACATGCTGTATTGCAAAGGAAATTTCTTTAGTCATCACTTTTATCATCCTCGTATAACTTTGAAACTCGTCCACGCTTGGCTAAGGCCCGCATTTTTGAACGTAATACCCCCGTAAAAAAGGAGATGTATAAAATATATATAAAATAATAATAATAATAAAACAAAAGCAGTGAAAATTCTCCCATCTCATTCTTTTTATCCATTCTCATCTACAGGTGTCATTCCAACATCCTTACACACTAGCCTCAAAATATTACATCTTCTTCCACTTATTTTCATATTTCTCCAGAAGGCTGTAGTTTTGAACACATGTAGAATAGTTTGCAAATTTTTGTCATCATCATTTATTTTATAGTTGTCATTTTTTGGTGATTTTCAACCGCAATAACAAGTCTATCACCCCGTCAAAGGGAGATATATAAAATATACATATATAAAAAATAATAATAATCTCAGGACAATTCTTGTCTTATGGGTACTAGACAACTGATACGAATACATAGCTTTTTTTTCGTAAATACATACATATTATACCATCAGAAGTAAAGCTGTGTGCTAAACGTTACCCCATTGAGGCCGTCAAAAAATAAATAATTATTTTACTTTCAGGACCTGAAATTCTGACCGCTACAGCAGGGCGCATACCCCGCCACGCCCGTTGCCATAGCGACCAATATCCTCAACACAATCTACCCACAGAACGAGAAATACCAGAACCTCCACAAAACCGAGAATTTCCACAGCAAGTTTTTCGGTTCGGAGACCCTAAGTACAAAATTTTCAGAATCATTTACAGAGAACTACCAACAGACGGATGGTGTGAATTTTCCAAATTATGAGACTCATAAAACTGATGGGTATCAGGATTTGAGTGGGAATACTATGGAATACGAGTCTGCAGAAGTGAGGAGAAAGAAAAAGAAGAAGAAACGGCAAGGGAAGGCTTATCAGTAAATTCTCCAACTTGATATTAAGGGGGTATTTTTTGACAAATCAAAAGGGACAAAATTTTGAAAATTCGATAAATTTTGTCCAATAAATTTCATAGTCACACTCCCTCTTATCACAGTTTGTCACATTTATGAGAAACCTCTCTTTGATCTGACAAAACTGTCTCCATTGCTAGCAAATGGATTATAATTAGTTTGATCTCCACATTAGATTGATACAATCATACTCATGAATATAAATGTTTGTACCGTGCGAGGAAACGAACCTGCGACCCTCGTAAGTAAAGTGTGTTAAATTACTGGACTACCGAGATCATCAAATAAAAAAATTGCATTCCATTCAAAATTATATATATATATATTAGAAATATTGGCTATGTAAAATCTTATCACGCTATATTATAAGTAAAGGAATAATCTATTTCACAAAACAACCGACTTCTACCGTTCAACATTTTGTATGGGACTATTACATATAATTTATAATTATATATAAGTAAAAGTGTCATTACTAGACGATAGGGGGCGAGTGCAGGCGGCACTCCAAACCCGCGGAATGATTTATAGAGCGGCTGAAGGCCAACTCCTGCCTGACGGATACAACTTTAGTCTGAGGGCACCGCTAGGGGTTCGAGCCTCGTGTATGTAGATCAGTGGATAGATCAAAGGAAACCGTCGATGACTAATAACAATAAATACAGCCTGATAATGTAGAGCTTTTATTAAAAAGTCGGTTGTTAGAAGAATGTTTAAGACTCTTCATTTCTTTATTGTTCTTTGTTCGTCTGTGCGCAATAAAGAGTTATTATTATTAATTACGCATAATTGCCTAAAAATACAGCCAACTACAGTTGCTTGTTAAGGATCTGTTTATTTCTTTCATTACGCAGTAGCATTGTTAAAGCACGTGGCAATTTTAATTGAGTAGTTTTACGAATCTAATATTAAATCTAAATGTAATTTAAGAAATATATTTTATGTTACACTGCATCGTTTTGTTTTATTTTATCGTACAGAGAAGTCATTATGGGTAACCCTGTATCACTTATTTCAGCCGCCAAGCAGCTTGCTTTATAGTCTGTGGTACGATTGTAAGGGTGCAGATTATAATAACGATATCTCAGGACAATCACACAGCGCCATCTAGTCCCAAGCAGAGCTTGTGTTATGGGTACTAGACAACTGTTATAAAAATACATATATACTTTAATTTCAGTAAATACTTAATATATATAGTCACACTCATATAAAATCAAATATGCTTGCCAAAGACAGGATAAAGAAAATAAAGTTAAGAAATTAATCCGAAATACAATTTTATTAATTTTATAATATACAAAATGGATACAGAAATAACTTAGAATATCAATTTTACAATATATATTTATTTGTTAGTCTTTTTGTATTAATTTAAGGTGTGACTCGCTTCGGGTCTCTTGGGAACATGGATGTTTTGCGAATGTTGTCTAGACCCAAGTACAACATTACTACTCTCTCTAAGCCGATACCACCACCTGCAAACACAATCGTATCTTACAATAGGATTTAATAAAATAATTAAGTAGCACCCCTACTTAATTATTTTAGTGTGATTGTAAGTAATGGGCACTGGAGGTGTCTATCTGCTTACTATAGTCTGTCTTTATATCTTAGAGACAACTTTGACATTACCTATGTTGGCAGCTTTTTGAGATTCTTATATAGTGTTGTGGCACAATCGGAAATTAATATGAATTACCGATTTATATCGGTTTCACTAATACAATGTGGATGTTTATTTAAAACAAATATTAACACAAAATTGATAAAGTATTTATAAGGTAATAATATGTATAGAATTGTTGTATTAAAATGTATTTTTTATTGACATTTCACAAATCAAAGACTGCTTTTTTTATAAAACAAATAATCTTCGTAGGGTGTTATATTTTATAACATACACCTATTTAAAATATTTAACTGTTTCAAAGAAAAAGCAGTTGATTTGTAGCTTAATAGCACAATAATATATCCGTAAACTACAAAAAACGTTTTTGTTATGTTTAATACAAACACAGTAATGGAAACATGTGTACAGTGTACGTAAAAAAATAAAAATGTATTGTGGACTCTGCCTGGGAAGTTTTATATATAAAAAACAAAAACAACAAATGGGTATGTCAGGTACAGCACTACCCCGCTATAAGTGGTACCATTATGTGAAAATTTTACATTTACACATGTCAATTCAAAGTCTCCGAGAATTAAAAAGAGACTATAGTTAAAATTTCAAGCTAATTTCATTCTATTCACGATTTTATTGCAATAATATGTAAAGATAAAGAAAATTATTATTTACCTGCATGCGGAGGGCAGCCCAGTCTGAACGATTCGATGTAAGCCGCGATTTTGTTAATATCTGTAAAGAGTCGTTTTTTTAATATACTACGATACGGAAGGATATTGTTAGTAATGTGGACTTATAACCCCATTATTAGCAATGTACCATGTCAGGTTGACCTCCACGCGGTCCCTACTGGAAACCATCGTGATAAATTCCTGGTGAATCTGTCACGATGTGCTAACTGACCTGACCTCATACTAATCTTATCACTCGCCAGCGTAAACCGTTAGCGCAGGCGGGTGCACCATTCCATTATCTTTAATAATATATATATATATATATAGATACTATGATGACGATGCTACGGACTTTGTGTCTGCATACTGTTAGTACTTCGAGAAAGCTAATTTGCAATTACAAGTGTTTTCAGCCGATATAAACTGCATTTTTGATCTGTGTTACTGCACAACTATTTTCTATGTGATCCGATTCTGAATTTGTAAATTTTTGCTGTTTCTCGGATGGTCTCATATAAATTTGAACAAAATGTGATCAGTTGTTTTTGAGTTATCCTTAACAAATCAAGTTTTTTTGTTCGTGGCCTGAATACGTCATCATATGTACTAGTGATCGAAATTCCTATAAATTTTGATATTTAATATTTATTTATTCTGTAACAATTTATATTATGTAATTTGAACATTATAAAGTTACTATGGGCAAAGTTTATTCACGTATTAATATAATAATTATTCTGTTATTATTTGTGACAGCCTGTCAGAGGCTTAGTGCGTTTTATAGTGTGTGTAAGCATAGCTCTGTTTATTCTATAATAAATAATAAATTCAGTGTTGATACGTACCTATCGCGTGGTGTTTGGCCCGCTCTATCAAGTAGTCCGGATCGTGTATACGCTGCGCCCCGCTCAGGATTTCCTCGCCTCGCATAAACATGTCGTATGAGTTAGACGTTTTCTGAAAACACCAATTATAGTTCAAGACAAAAAATTAACAAACAAAAAACATGTTTATAGCATAGGGGACAAACGAGTGGCCGCCCATGAGGAGCGACGCCAGGGGAATTGCAAGTGTGTTGCCGGCCTTTTAAGAAGGAATAAGCTCTTTTCTTGAAGGTTTCAATATCGTATCGGTTCAAAAATACCATTTCTGAAAGGCCATTCCACCATGACATGGTGTAGAAAGGTTTCAAAATTTTGCTTAGCTGGGGACTAGATGGCGCTGTGGGAATTCTCCGCATATATTATTTACCGGCTAGTTCCCGGCTTCTTAAGGTCCGGCGTGGTATAGAAGGGTGTCTTCAAGCTAACGGGTACTTGTCAAAGATATAAAAGTCTGTATTATCACTGGGTACTTACTATAGAAGGGTCTCACAGCTTTGCTTCACTTATGACTAGATGGCGCTGTGTAAATTGTACTGTGAATAAATTTTATTAGGTACTTACCGGGTTTATAGGATCCGGCATGGCATAGCCCTTCTACGGGGTATTTGTTAGCCCTTCTACGATGTATCTCAAGGGGTACTTGTGAGGGATATAAAAGTCTGTATTATTACTGGGTACTTACTGGGTTCTTAGGGTCCGGTATGTATAGAAGGGTCTCATAGCTAACAGGTACTTAATTAGGGATATAAAAGTCTGTATAATTACTGGGTACTTACCGGGTTCTTAGGGTCCGGCATGGTGTAGATGGGCCTCACAGCTAACGGGTACTTAATTAGGAATTAAGTCTGTATTATTACTGGGTACTTACCGGGTTCTTAGGGTCCGGCATGGTGTAAAAGGGCTCATAACTAACAGGTACTTAATAAGGAATATAAAAGTCTGTATTATTACTGGGTACTTACCAGGTTCTTAGGGTCCGGCATGGTGTAGAAGGGCCTCACAGCTAACGGGTACTTAATAAGGAATATAAAGTCTGTATAATTACTGGGTACTTACCGGGTTCTTAGGGTCCGGCATGGTGTAGAAGGGCCTCACAGCTAACGGGTACTTGTCGAGGATGTAGAAGTCTGTATCATACTTCGCGCGGACCAGTCTTCCTAACAGCTTCTCATCAGGCGTGGACAGGTCGTCTTCTTCCCCCAACGTTACTCCTGGGGAGATCACAATTTGTTATACCAGTGATTTTTTATTTGACTCACATTTAATAGATAGGTAGACCGTTTTAATGATTCTGCTAAAATACAAACTGGTGCCCCGCCATCATAAACCGTTGAAACAAGAAAACCAGTTTTACATACCCGCTTCTTTCAACATTTGTATTGCTTGCGGGAACTCGAGGCGCAATGGAGGGTCCAGATACTTGAAGGGCTCCACTCGGTACTGCTGGCCGACTGTCGCTATCTCTGCCGCGTATCTGTTTGTATTTTTTGATTGATAACATTAATACTAGATTTAAAGACTAACTTGCTGTTCTTAAGTGTGTTTGACGAACTTAGTGGTCTAGAGGTTTAGCACCGATGGTCGCGGTTTCGATTCCTCGCACGGTACAAACATTTGTATTCATGAGTATGATTGTTTATATCAGTCTGAATGTTTTCTATGTATAATATGTATGTATTTACGAAAAAATCTATGTATTTGTATCAGTAATCTAGTACCCTTAGCACAAGCTTTAGCTAGCTTAACTTGGGTCTAGATGGCGCTGTGTGAATTGTCCTGAGTTATTATTATGAAGCATCGTTTAGAAAAGTCAATGTGTCTTTTATGAGAATGTGTATAAAAATTTACAAAAAAGATACCAACTGCAAGTACTTTTAAATAAAATTAAAACATCAGTGAAATCATATTTATTGAGCGAAGCCTTACTCACTAATTATTGGAAGTAGGACTGCGTGTAATAATAATAATAAAGACTGCGTGCTAAACCGCTATATCAACGAGGTCGTCAAATTATGAATAAATGAATGAATGAATGTTGTTATATGAATATTTAGATAGATAGAATATACTTTATTTGCAACATACAGTAAAGAAGAAGCACAAACAATATAACAAAGGACACATGTATCGTTACAATAAGGCGGCCTTATTGCTAAAAGCAATCTTTTCAAGGCAACCCTAAGGAAACGGATTGAAATATCGAACAGGTAGGTAAAATTACATGAACAGGAGAAAACTAAAGGGTAACAAATATAATTATAATGATGATGAAGGAAAATAATAATAAATATTATATGAATTAAAATTTATGTACATAATAATATTCATATATTAAACTAGATACACTTACATAAACTACATACATAATTTTAAAGTTAAATAGAATAAACCAAATATAAATTAAAATGACATACTAACTGAAATTTAAATATTGTATATTATATGAATATTTGAATGTAATATTTATCAACATCGCTGGAAGGCATTGGATGCGAGCAACGTAGGACCGATTGTGGTGGAGATCTTTGGGGGATCCCTATGTCCAGCAGTGGACGTCTTCCGGGCTGCGATGATAATGATGATGATTTATCAATAAATGTTCTTTCTTTCTTGTTAATATTAACTATACTCACTCGTCTCTCAGTCCTTTGAATATTTCAGTGAACGTGGTCCCAATAGTGTCCAGTACTTCGTGATAATGATGCTTGAACGACATCTCCAGATCCAAACCGACGAACTCCGTCAGATGTCTATGTGTGTTTGAATCCTCAGCTCTGAATACTGCACCCACGGTGAACACCTGTAATCAGAGTGGTAATTTTTTTTTATTAATAACTATCTGTGCCCGCAGTTTCATCTGCGTTAAACTTCAATAAAAAATATAGCCTATGTGTTATACTGATGCATAAATTATATTACTGTAAAGTTTTATCAAAATCCCAAACTAACTACTATAGAACTTGTGGTATGAATACTAGACAACTGATATACATAGATACATTTTGTCAAAATTACCAGACTCACAAAAATTACCACACTCTCTCAAAATTTACCACTCTCTCTGAAAAATAACCACACTTAGTCTCAACTTCTTGACCACACACCTTATCGAAGTCTGCCGCTATTGCCATCTGCTTGTACAGCTGCGGACTCTGAGCCAAATAGGCCGAGGACTTGAAGTATGACACGGTGAAAACATTAGCGCCGCCTTCCGATGCAGCGGGTATGATTTTTGGTGTGTGAATTTCAACAAAACCTGTAGAGAGACAACAGATAAGCCGAGATTGTGGTATGGATAGTTATGGAATGATGCACTGTTACGGAGTGGGTCGAAAGACAATTATTTCAAGTTTAAGTAGAAAAGAGCGTCTTAGGTGATAGATCGGTAACAGACCAACTTTTTCATTCCCTTTGTCTTAACCGAAACCGAAGGAAAGGAATTAATGAATTAGTATTGTCTTATTAAGACAATATATAATACAGAAAGCTATCACGGCTATTTCGGAACCGTTCGTAAATAATGTGATAAAATAAGGGATGATGCAGGATGTAAATGTATTAGTTTGAACCTATCAGTAGGTAGGTACCTACCTAATGGAACGAATAAATTAAGACGAACAAAATAATTTTTAGTTCTAAAGAACTTTTACTTTACTTTCTAGAATAAAAGTAGCCTAAAGGCTACTTTTATTTTAGAAAAATAAAGTTATATTCCACGCGGACGAAGTCGCAGAAACAGCTAGTCAAGGATAAATTGTATTTATTGCTACCTAGGTAGGTATATATATCTACTGAATCTTAATCAGACAGATAAGTTTCTATAATATATCTCTACGTATGTTTTTTATGGATGATAATGGAATGGTGCACCCGCCTGCGCTAACGGTTTACGCTGGCGGGGCACCAGTGAAGAATGATAAGATGAACCTGAGGTCGGGTCAGTTAGCCCAGTGACAAATTCAGCATGAATTTATCAACATGGTTTCCACATGGAGGTCAACCTGACATTGCTAGCAAGGGGGTTATTAATCCACATTACTAACAATCCCTTTCCCCCTTATATGGATACTATACACCTAATAGAAATATTTAAACACATTTTTTTGTAATTACATAGAAAACATCGAGATCGTTACAAACTATCATGCTCATGAATACAAATGTTTGCACCGTGCGAGGAGCGAACCCGCGACCTTTGGAAATAAAGCGGTGTGCTAAACCGCTAGACCACCGAGGCCGTTATATTTGTAAAAACAAATTGCAGGTATAATATAATTTCATTATTGCATTACTTTTTCATTAAATTAATCATTTACAATTCTATCAATGTTTGTAGTAGTAGTGTACGCAGTGCATACTTATAAGAGTAGAAGAAAAAATAATTTCAACATTAAACATTTGGGATTAAAAAAAAAATTTTGTAATTTAAACTAAGAAAAAATTGCTGCTATTTAGCTGGGCCGCATCAATTAAAGCCTTTTGCTATTTGAATAAAGAAAAAAAGTTATTTAGCTGGCTGCATCAATTCAATCTGCGGGTCATGGTTTGGACAGCTCTAGTATAGAACAAGCCGAGAAATACAAAGATTTGTAATGCATCCATGAAAAGTCGGGACAGGTTGATAGTTAATTATAAACATAATACCTTTTCTAGTGAGTATATCACGGAACAGTCTGCACACGCCGGCCTCGAGTCTGAATATGGCCTGGTTGGCCGGAGTACGCAAATCCAGCACGCGGTTGTCCAGTCGTGTGTCTTGGTTTACTCGGATTCTCAGCGCTTCAGGGTCCTGAAACAATCCTTACTAATATTACAAACGTGTTTAATACGTTAGGTGTTGTTACTTATAAGTGTATGTAACCTCTTTGCTACATCTAAATATATATAACTCAAAGGTGATGACTGACATAGAGATCTATCAACGCACCGCCCAAACCACTGGATGGATCGGGCTGAAATTTGGCATGTAGGTAGATGTTATGACGTAGGCATCCGCTAAGAAAGGATTTTGATTAATTCCACCCCCAAGGGGATTAAATAGGGGATGAAAGTTTGTATGAAACTGTCAATTTTAAACTGATCGGGCTGAGACTTTACATGCATAAAGCTACTATGACGTAGGCATCTCCTAAGAAAGTATTTTGATAAATTCCACCCCTAAGGGGATAAAATAGGGGATGAAAGTTTGTATAAATCTTTTTAGATTTTGTAGGGCCTAATTTGTTACATACGCTAAACGAAAGTAAAGCCGCAAAAACTAGACCTAATTAATAATAATACTTACTACCACGCGAGCGAAACCGCGGGCAAAAGCTAGTTATATTATATAACTTTAAAAAAACATAGAATATTCCAATTTTGAATTTGACATTCTGAGCTGAATCATTGCAGGGAAAATACAAGATTTTTTCATTATTTGACTTTATAAAATTTTGTTTTATTTTCACAAGAACAAAAGGATAGTACAAACAAAATGCGAAAGTGTATGGAGCACGCATTTAAAATTTGCATTTTTTTTTATAAACTTACTAAAAGTGATATCCACGTAGGTACCGGTATTTTGCGTGAGCGTGAGACGACGCGCTTATCCTTACTTCCTTACTAATATTATAAATACAAAAGTAAGTCTATCTGTCAGTCGCGCTTTCACACCAAAACTATGGAACCGATTTAAATGAAATTTGGTACAGATAGTCTAGACCCAGAGAAAGAACATAGGCTACTTTTATAATGCGAAAAAGGGTTGAAAAGGGAGAATACGAGGTGTATGGAAGGATCGTTTATTTTAAAGCCTCTTGAAACTTATTTTTTTAGGCTAAAATTTTACGAAATTTTTGAAGTCATATTTATTTTTATTTTATCAAAAATATACAAATATAACATTAAAAGTTTTCGCGTATTAATATATAGATAATCCCAGGTAACTTCTTTTAGTTTACAATTACAAAACATAGCACTCACGTCGCTTTTCTCGGGCCTCGCAGCATCTTCGATCTGGAGCGGGAGCTGCGGACGGGCGGCGGACACTGTCCATATTTCTACTGCCAGCAGTTCCACATTCCGTACTGTGCATGATTCCACTGGTGATGCTGTCTTCACGACGGTCGCTCGTACATCAATTATGGATTCTTTTGTAATACTGCAAATGTAAAAAACAAAATCATCAATAGGATAGAATATATTTTTGAAGAATATGTATGTATATATGAAAGAAAGAAAGAAAAACAATTATTGACAACCATTATTACATTTACACATTTGACTAAGGTACATTTTACATATATATACATATGCACACGCACACTCATATACATATATACATATACACATACATACATACACACTTAGAACAATTATAAAAAAATATATAATAATAAGGTCGGGACAATTCACACAGCACCATCTAGACCCAAGTTAAGCTAGCTAAAGCTTGTGTTATGGGTACTAGACAACTGATACAAATACATAGATTTTTTTTTCGTAAATACATACATATTGTACATAGAAAACACCCAGACCGATACAAACAATCATACTCATGAATACAAGTGTTTGTGCCGTGCGAAGAATCGAACCCGCGACCATCGGTAGTAAGGCGGCGTGCTAAACCGCTAGACCACCGAGGCCGTCAGAGAAATAGTGATATATATATTCACTATTTCTTTGTGGGATGTATTGGTTGCCAGGCAGAAATTCAAAATTATCTCTTGACAACAAACTTCTCCTCTACAACTCTATATTGAAAATTTTGACCTATGGCTTCAATTATGGGGTTCTGTTGCAAATTCCAACATAAGCATAATACAGAGGGCTCAAAATAACATCTTGAAACAGCTTAGAAATGTGCCATGCTTTGTAAAAATATTATTCATGAGTATCTCAACACAAACACAGTAGCCGAAGAGATAAAACACCACTACTCCAAGTACAAGACACGGCTAGTAAACCATCCTAATGTGCTGGCTAACCGACTGATAGTCGCTGACAACATACGTTGACTTAAAAGGCGTAGGCTACTGGGACCTGATGATTAATCAGGACCACCAAAAGAGACGATGATCCTGCTGGGAATCACACTCTACCCACGACGTAACACCTTTACCATATCTGTTCATAGTCTTCGACTGATTGCAGGATAGACACAAAAGAAAAACTATTTCTATTCCAATTCAAATTCAAGTTCAAAAATCATTTATTCATGTAGGACATTTTAGCCGCTTATGAACGTCAAGTTTATGTTGTTATATATGTTGCTGTACTCTTGTTCTTATTTTATATTCCTTATATATGTTACTTAAGGTATTTGTATACATATTGTCCAATATCTTTTTGCACATTGCACACATTGCACACAATTTGCAAATCAAAATTGAAAGGATAGCTTACATCTCAATTTATAGTTACCTTAGCTACAGTAACGCGTGGCCGGGTCTGCTAGTTGTTATATAAACTATTAAATTACCTGAAGTAAAATAAATAAATATTGAAAATCACTTACTTGCCCGCGAACTTGACCATTTGCTTGCTGATAGCGCGCTCTTCATTCACGCTGACCAGAAGCTGCACTGTGCTCGAGCTCTGTCGAAGCACGGCGAAGCATTGCTTCCCCTTTGCCCTTGACGTTTGAAGTCGTGCTGCAATCATGGTAGCAAATTAATTGATAACTGTGAGGGTAAGGTTGTATATATATTTGGTATTGTAAATATAATTATGGAAATACTGTTTTTAGAATAAGATTTGTATAATTGTATGTATAAAAAGTAAAGCAAATAACAGAATAGAACAGAAGAATAGTAATGACAATATAACATTTTTCTATATCAAATAATAGATAATAAAAAAATCTTTAAAAATTACGTGTCACGTGTGTCCATTCGCGATGGACTCCTAAACTTCTGAACCGATTGCAAATTTGATTTGCACATTGTGTGTAATTTGATCCAACTTGAAAGACAGAATAGCTTACATCTCAAATTATAGTCGCAATATTATTTTATTGCCTTTGCTACAGCAACACGTGGCCAGGTATGCTAGTAGTATCAAAAAAGCTGCTCTGCACAGATAACAATTTGGAATTTTAAAGTGACCACCTTGAATGTGAGGCGACAGGGAAGGAAGGAAGGTGTGAACATATTTTTTTTTCTGACTTTGAAAGTGCACTTGATGCTAAGTGGTAACGCCTATACAGCCTCGATTGTGTAGCAGTTTAGCACACCACCTTACTTCAGATGGTAGCGGGTACAAACATTTGTATTCATGAGTATGATAATTTCTAATCATCTAATGTCTGGGTTAAAAAAAAAATTATTTATGTATTTATATCAGTTGTCTAGTACCTATAACCCAAGCCATGCCTAGTTTGGGACTATATGGCGATGTGTGAATAATTCAGAGACATTATAATTATTGTACCTATATTATTTTTCTATGCTATTCATGCACCACCTACCACTTCTGTCATTTTTTCTCTATCTTAAAGTTGTCTGGAAGAGACAGCTTGCTGCGATAAGACCGCCTTTGGTACATCTATATCTCTTTTCTGTATAATTTTTGTGTAAAATGTTTAGGGCAATGAATACTTTATAAATAAGTACCTCTGACCCAAACTTCTTGGCTATCAATCTTCACCCCTAAGTCCTGGACATCAGTGTAGACTCGGCCCCTGTGGTCTCCAGATGACTGAATCAACTTGAGCACCCCATACCGCCCTTCGGAGGTATCTGGTTCTGATTCATTTTGTGGCTGAGCAGACGCTGCCTGGAAATATATAGTAAAAGCCAAGTTGAAGAGGTAACTCCACTACACACTGTATGTGATTATAGCCCATGTATGCATAAACGAAATACGGAACGGGCCCTCATTGGACACTGTAAATTGAATAACCACTTGGCAAAATTAGACCTTAGCTAAGAGGAAACTCCACACACACCTATACACACATCCTATGTGGTCATAGCCCACTCATGTATGAACAAAATGATATAGCTGTGGGTACTTACTTTTATACTTAGTTTATTAATAAAGTGTATTAATGTAGGAAGGCACTATATGTTCTTTACATAAAGTGATACAACCTACATAGCATATTGTTATAATATTTCATACACTATACACACATTTCATCATCATCACATATTTCATAATACTATATATTAAGGACACATTAACACTATCTTGAGGAGATAAAAACCATCGCATCTAAGAATATCCTTCAATTGTTGTCCCTGATGAGTCTGATCAGGGCAAGCACAATAGATCTATGTAGGTTGCAGTGCTACATGTCAGAATAACAATGCAAACAATGCACTATCCCATTATCATAAAAAAATACAACTTACAAAACAAGTTGCTTGGTGTCTGAAATATATGAGACAGAGAGAGCTACCTATCTATCTCACTTATTACCCCACTTTAGTACCCATGTAGATAAATTTGTATAAAGTCTACCTTATGTTCTGCCTTCTTCTGTTGTTTCTCAGCCGCTTTGGCAGCCTTCTTGGCCGCCTTTTTACTGGCGGCTGTGTCGCCCTCCACCTGTACTGGTGTCTCTGATACAACCATATTGGAAGATCTGCAAAGAGATCAAAGTTAACCTGAGAACATTACACATGTAATATTTCTGGCACACTCTCATCAGCTTACCTCTCCGGATAAAATAGATTTAAGTTAGAGAAAGAATTTTACCACAGAAAATATAATGAAACCACAGAAAATAAAACCAAATTACCATAGAAAAGACAATAAATATGTACACTATTCAATAAAACATTATTGCTTTTTTATTTATTATCTCACAGTAAAAAAAATTTTTTTATTGGGTATTGGCGGGAAGGCTACGGCTAACCGTAGCCTTCCCGCCAATACCCAATAAAAAAATTTTTTGTATGAAAAAAAAAATTGTATGAATAAAAGTATGTATAAGTATGATAAAATTAAGTTCCTAACAAAACTGGATACACAAATAATATTTAAATAATAGTACGAACAGTGATGTTATTATAAACTTAACCTATTCTTTTAACCAAATATAACCATCCTATTTTAAAAAATCACGGTGTTACGATAAATCACACAATGAATTAGAAAAGCATATACCTTTATTATTGAAATTTGGAAAATCTTAGTAACAATTTATTACAAATTTCATCATCCAATCCAAATAAAAAATAAATTAATAAAAAAAAAAGTTACCCGTATCACGGAGTGGACTATTATGAATTTATGATTGGTACTTATGTTCTATTAAGATAAAAATGTATTTCTAACTGATAAGAAGTTAATTATAACTGCTAATACATATTTATAAAATAGGTTATATACTGACCTGCTGTGTCTGATGTATAAAAAAAATATAATGCCCAATGTCAATAATGTCAAAGTCAAAATGACTGCAGTGACAGCGCACTGTACAATAGTGTTGGTTTGACGATTTTAGTCGACTCAAGACGACTGTTTACCGTCAACGATGAACTAGTTTAAAAAACAGTCTATATTTTGTAATATTCTTTTAATATATGCTAGTCACTACAGCATTCTGTTTCTTATTTCTTTGTATTCTCAAATCAAACACTATAAAATAAAATTATATGTCATTTCACTGTCTTTACCATTGCTAGCAATGGGCCCCAGCGACGTATACTACATTTTTATCATTATTATTATAGTTACACTACATTTTCTCAGCTTTTGCTGGTTTTCGGTGTGTGTGTGTTATTATTATTATTATTCATCATCATCACCATCATCGCAGCTCGGAAGACGTCCACTGCTGGACATAGGCCTCCCACAAAGATCTCCACGACGATCGGTCCTGCGCTGCTCGCATCCAATGCCTTCCAGCGATCTTGACCAGATCGTCGGTCCACCTTGCTGGAGGCCTTCCCACGCTGCGTCTTCCGGTCCGTGGTCGCCACTCGAGGACTTTACTGCCCCAACGGCCATCTGTCCTACGAGCTATGTGCCCTGCCCATTGCCACTTCAGAGTCGCAAGTCCCTTAGTTTATATCGACGAAAAGACTATTTCTTAACAAACAGAATTGGTAAATGTAAACTAATAAAAATCTTGATTATCAATTGACGTTGTCGGAGCGACCGTATCGACCGACACGTCACGATCGTCGGCGATCAACGTGATGTAACAGATACATCAACCAGTCGACAAATAAAAAACTAGTTGTAACTGTGAACTATAAAGTAGTTTAATCGTTCAATCACAAAGAACAACTTAACAAAACGGATGAACAGGCTAGTTATTAAACTAAGTAGTAGTCGTTAGTTACTTTTCATAAGATTGACAGCACATTTTTTGTACTCGTTTTTTTTTCCATTAATTTTATTTCACTTTCTGTATTATTTTAATACATTTGGACAACAAATGTGTATAATGTTATTCAATAGATTCCCAACTGTTTTGGTCTCATTGTTTATACTTTTTTAGAACTAAACTATAGTTTATTTTTCTTTTTTATAGCTTGCACTTTAGTATTAGTTATAATATCTAAATATATATAACTCAAAGGTGACTGATATAGTAATCTATCAACGCACAGCCCAAACCACTAAACGGATCGAGCTGAAATTTGGCATGCAGGTAGATGTTATGACGTAGGCATCCGCTAAGAAAGGATTTTGATTATATTTACCCCCAAGGGGATAAAATAGGGGATGAAAGTTTGTATGAAACTTTGTCAATTTTAAACCGATCGGGCTGAGACTTTGCATGCATATAGCTACTATGACGTAGACATCCCCTAAGAAAGGATTTTGATAAATTCCTCCCCTAAGGGGATAAATTAATGCCAGCGACGCCGCGGGCAAAAGCTAGTACTAAAATAAGATTTATATTTTATTTATTTCGGAGTACTGTAATGCTGTTTACAGCACACGCCCCCGTACAGATGGCACTCCAAACCAAAGGAAGGACTTATGGAGCGGTTGAAGGCCAACTCCCGCCTGACGGATACGACTTTAGTCTGAGGGCACAGCTAGGAGTTCGAACCTTGGCTCATATAAAAGATATACCTACCCATATGCAGTCAGTTGTCTATTTTTTAAGGCATCATTCATTTTCCTTTTACGACGTAGTCTTCTTCTTCTCTCCATTTGGTAATCCAGCTCCAAAAATTCTAAAATTTCATATTCGTCACACATCTACAAAAAAAATAACCTGATGAACGTCTAAAAAAAAACAAATTCGATACAAACATTAAAAAAATGTCCGTATGTTTGTTCTTGCTAATCTCTGAAACGATTGACCGATTTTAATGGAACTTTCACAATTTTGAAATTGGAATTCATAACCAAAGAGGAGATATTTGAAATCAAAGTGGCCACTACGACAAAACGTTAATTTTACATGTAAGGACCTAATACATAAGTTTTATTTTTAAATAAATAATTGAAAGAGTTGACAGAACGAAGTACGACGATGTAAAGATGATTTTAATATGTAAATAAATAATTTACACTTACATTAAGAATATTTCACCCGTTCACTTCACGATTTAAATTCCAACATTCCAGAGCCGTAAAATATTTAAAAAAAAAAGTCTTGAAGTTTATGTTAAATCGCAATTATTTTAAATATCTAATAAAATAGCTAAATTTTCTATTACAGAACCGTGAGAGCCTGAAGGGTTTTACGAGGAACATTGGAATAAAAGAAATTTACGTCTTTAAAGAACAACTATTATATTTAGACAGCGCTTGTGACATCCTTTTAAAAAACAGCAAACAAATTATTTTTTTCTTTTTTACACTCATAAATCTTACTAACTCTTTTAATTTTATACTTACATCCTTTGTACCTAACATCACACTTAAGAAACGCATAAAAACGTCAATTTGTTGACAAAATTCAATTTTTTTAATCTAAAATAAATATTAGAAATATTGGCAGTACATTTATGTCTAATAGGCGGTATTAAAGGTGAGTGCAAAGGGTACTCTACTTCTAAAGTCTACCTCAGTAAAAAAAAAAACACAACTATAGCACTAGTTCCTAAGTTAGGTTACGCATAAATTATTCCTATTTCTTTTGAAATTTCCTGCCCATATAAATAGGCTTAAAATAAGGTTGCTGCTCCTAAACTCGATGCCGGTGCAAAGGAGCTCGCCCCGATGCACCAACCTCTCTGTAACAAGTGTTAGAATTATATAGATTAGTATGGCAACACTGAACAGAGATTATTAGAAAATGTCTTGCTTGTACAATGTCATGTCTTCTGCTACAATAAAAGTATTAAAATATAATAACAGTATTTATCATTATAACATGGCGCAGTCGATAATTTAAACTGAAAAAAGTGATAGAGAGTGATAATAAATAAGTGATATTGAGTAAGTAAACCAAAAAATATGGATATGTTGAAGCCGCCGCCATCATTGTCGTTTACCGGCGACATTGCCGAAAATTACAAAAGATTTAAGCAAAGATATCAGTTATATGTGAAAGCGTCAGGAGCTGATGTAAAATTGAATGATGAGGGACAAATAGCATTATTTCTTCACACAATAGGTGACGAGGTAATACAAATATATAATACTTTTGATTTAACCTCTTCTACAAAGTTCGATGACCTAATAAAGAAATTTGATAATTATTTCATACCACAGAAAAATGAGTCTATGAATAGACATATTTTCTTCAGTAGAGTTATGAAGGAAGACGAATGTATCGACGATTACGTAACAGAATTACGTATATTGAGCAATGATTGTAATTTTGAGTCACTGCGAGACAGTTTAATAAGGGACCAGATTATTCGAGGAATAAGAGAAAAGAGCCTACGTGAAAGATTATTAAAAGAGCATGGTCTTGATCTAAATAAATGTATACAAATATGTAAAACGTTCGAAATAACTTGTATACAGATGCAGAAATTTGAAAAAGAGAAAATAGAGGTAGCAGAAATAAAGAAAAGCAGTAAGTATGAGTACAATAAGAGCCAGACAAAGGGAAAAAGTCAAACAGCACAAGGTAGACAAGCTGAGGTATCAATACATAATGCAAGTAAGAAAAATAGTTTGTGTTATAAGTGTGGTTATAGTCATGGGTATAAATGTCCAGCATACAATGTACAGTGTAGAAAGTGTGGACGTCGTGGTCATTTCGCGCGAGTGTGTAAAAATAGAAATAAAGTGCAAGTGATAAATGAATCCGTATCATCTGACATTGTGATTAGTTCTATAGAGGTCGGAACAATAAATAAAAGTGATTTATTTGAGTCTCTTCAAGTAGGAAGCAAAATTATTGACTTTAAGTTAGATACAGGATCTGATTGTAATGTGATACCATTGAAAATTATTAAGCAGTTAGGTTGTAATACAATGATTAAAAGTAGTAATATTAAGTTACATAATTATGACGGGTCACAAATTAATAGTTTAGGTTTTATAGACTTGAGATGTAAACTGATCAATAATAGGCAAGTTAATTTGAGATTTCAAGTAGTAAAAGCAAATTGTACACCAATATTAGGTTGGAATACTATGGAACATTTAAAACTGTTTGAACGTAAAAATCTGAGGCAAGTAATATGTAATAAAAATATGCAGTGTCATGATATAATAAATAAGTATATACAGATATTTGATACAAATAAAATAGGATGTATTAAGGAAAAAGAAATAGAGGCACAGGTAGGTATGATTATAGAAAATATTCCAGTTAAATCTTGTAGATTAGAAGAAATTAAGAAAGAAACAGAAAATGACAGGGAATTTAATTTATTAAAAAAATATATTATAGAAGGATGGCCAGATAATATAGAGAAAGTACCAGACAGTTTGAGAGATTATTGTACATTCAAAGAAGAACTTTTTGTATATGATGATTTAATATTTAAAAATAACTGTGTAGTAATACCAATGTCAATGAGACAAAATATGCTTGAACAGTTACACTACAATCATTTAGGTATTGAAAAATGCAAGGCTAGAGCTAGATCATGTATATTTTGGCCTCATATGAATAAAGAGATAGAAAATAAGGTACAGAATTGTAATACATGTTGTAGATTTAAAAAACGTAATAGTAAAGAACCTATGACCATAAGAGACATGCCTCATAAGCCATGGTCAGTTTTAGGAAGTGATGTTTTTTATTATAAGGAAAAGCCATTTCTAATTATTGTAGATCATTACAGTAAATACTTTGAAATTATAAGTTTAAGTAATTTATCTGCAGAAGTAACAATTGCTGCATTTAAATCAGTATTTGCTAGATTTGGTATTCCTGATATTTTATATTCGGATAATGGTACTAATTTTTGTAATCAAAAGTTTAGAGAATTTACAAAAAATTGGAATTTTACTCACAGAACTAGTAGTCCTACATTTCCTCAGTCAAATGGTCTTGCTGAGAGATATGTGCAAACGGTTAAAAATTTGTTTAAAAAAGCTGATTATGAAAATAAAGACAAGTATTTAGCATTATTAGAGTACAGAAATACTCCTAAAGTAGAAATGGAGAATAAAACTCCTTCTGAATTGTTAATGAATAGAAATGTTCAAGGTTTATTACCACAATATTCATGTCCAAGTAAAGATAATATAAGAATACAGACTAAATTGTACAAAAACAGTTTTAGACAGAAAAAATATTTTGATAAAAACACTAAAAAGTTACCAGAATTGAACATTGGGCAAAAAGTTATATTAGAATGTGATAAAAAGCCTTTTACATATGCTGAAATAATTAGAAAAGATTATAGACCTAATTCATATAAAGTAATGTGTGAAAATGGACAAATGCTAGATAGAAATAGAAAGTATTTGCATAATTGTAAAGATCAGTCTAAGCTTATTATTAAAAAAGAAAGGAAAATAGATGTAGATTGTGATAGTGGTCAAAGTAAAGATTGTGATGATAAAGAGCAAACTGTAATTAAAGATAATAATATTGAGTTACAAGTTCAAACTGAAAGTCACAATAATGAAAATCATTACTTTACCACTAGGTCAGGTAGAATAGTAAAACCTCCAAGTTATTTAAAAGATCATGTTTATTAAGTTCATTTATTGTGAAGGAAGGGGGATGTAACAAGTGTTAGAATTATATAGATTAGTATGGCAACACTGAACAGAGATTATTAGAAAATGTCTTGCTTGTACAATGTCATGTCTTCTGCTACAATAAAAGTATTAAAATATAATAACAGTATTTATCATTATAACACTCTCCTAGGTCATACAGATGAGCCGGTGCATTCAGAAGTATCTATTTTTCTTGTTAACGCACAGTAGATTTGATTATGTTGATTAGATAGTGGACTGTATGAAAGTGTATGATAAATTATAGATAGGAATAAGAGGTTTACATTTATGCACTAATAACCTAATTGCAGATACGGTTTTAGGCTTCCCAGAACTTCGGGTTTGTCCTAACTTATCTTTTGAACTAAGTTTCCCACAGAATAAAGAAGTTTTTATGTTCTGTGGGGTTACCAATACCGCCAAAACCAATAAAATATATTCTTCATTCGATCAGCCACTTACCTTACTAATGTTATTTATGTACAAATAACACCAATTAACACAATAAAACTGCTTAAGCACAGATGATTTAGAAAAATATCGAAATTGACAAGCGACAACTCTTTTCACCATCAAAAACGGGCGCGAAATAATTTTATTTTTCTTTTCTGAGAGTGACAGTGTTGCCAACTTAATAACCAAAATAATAACTACAATTATGAATAACAATGGTTTATTCTACTGAAATGTAGACTTTTTTCTAAAAATGATCTCTAATCAATTATAAAGAAGAATAAATTATATATCTGGATACGTCACGGCAGCATCTGTCAAATTTTATATTTACTATTTACAAACGCGGACACTTGAAAAGTTGGTGCCTATAATGTTTAAATTTTCCGTTCAAAATGACAAAAAGACTCGAAACTAATACTCACTGTTTTAGATCTGATATTTATATATATAATTTCATGATAGAATGCCTGTATTCACTGCTAACATACCTAGCACTCTTAAAGTTGGAGATAGAATTGAAATTGGCGGAAAAATCAAGGAGAATGCTAGAAAGTGAGTTTGTTATCAACAGTGGAGATCTTGACGATGTATTATTACTTTAGTAGCTACATGATACTAATAATAACGTTGGATAAATTTTTACAACGACATTTAGTCCTCTTGTTATGTTATGCAATGTTGGTTTATGGGTGATAACCAGAGAACTAATATAAATACATAAAAACATTATTTTTTGTAAATACATATAAGTATAATATACACAGAATGGAGGGAAAGGGGATTGTTAGTAATATAGACTGATGATCTTATTGCTAGCAATCTAACATGTCAGGTTGACCTCCACGCGGTTCCTCCTGAAAACCATCGTGATAAATTCTTGGTGAATTTATCGCGATGGGCTAACTGACCTGACCTCATGGTCATCTTATCATCGTCTACTGGTGCCCCGCCAGCGTAAACCGTTAGCGCAGGCGGGTGCACCATTCCATTATCATCCATAACAAATACACACAGAATATACCAGACCGATACTAAAACTCATGAATGTTTGCTCTTTGCAAGGAATCGAACCTAAGATCGCAGTCAAATATACGATAGTGATATAGATATGAGAAGGACCACATATTACCATTTTAATATATTATAATTGAAGTGCCATACAAGCATTTCAATTACACCAGTCAATTGAACTTTTATATGATACAGATAAAGTATATTTCAGAATGTCGGTGAACCTGTGTGCCCAAGAAGGCGAGGAGCCCCGTGACGTGGTCCTCCATTTCGACGTGCGTTTCCATCGTGACAACATCATCTCATTGTCCAGGAAGAACGGAATTTGGATCGGCAGCGGCAACTATGACACCAACTATAACATGTTTGTGCCTGGTTAGTACTTATTTATTAGATACTAGCTGTGCCCGCGGTTTCACTCGTGTGTAATTAGCCTGCTAGCTGACTCACGCAATTTCGTCTGCATCACATTTACTTAATATTAATCATTATATTTCGCCTACTTTACATAATATCTTGTTAAATTATAGCTTACTAGCTTTAAGCCGCGGCTTCGCTCGCATTGAATCCATTAAGCATTCATACTTGCACATTTATATCTAATATTAGTAAGGATTTATAACTTAATTATTGGCTGCCAGACGGCGCTGAAGTAGCAAAAAGTTGATATTTTATTTTTTGTTTTTTTATAAAAAAGTTTTTTTTTTTTTAATAAAAAATATCCTATGTCCATGCTAATACTTCCAAGAACATGTGTACAAAATTTCATGATGATCGGTTCAGTAGTTTTTGCGTGAAAGCGTAATGAACATCCCTACTTTTACATGTATAATATTAGTAAAGATGTGTTATTGTAATGTATAAGCTATGTTATTATATGTATAATATGTATGTATTTACCAAAAAAAAAATCTATGATTTGTATCAGTTATCTAGTACTCATATTAGTTTAACTTGGGTCTAGATGGCGCTGTGTGAATTGTCCTGAGATTGTTAAAAAAAAGCTATAATTCTGTGACTACACTTGTAATATTTCTGTCACTCGAGACCTTTCCATTAGTACCTCTCCACTTAAAATAGATTTATTCTCAGTGTAAAGTCAGTTCACGTTACTACTGCGCGTAGAATGTACCCGTTACTAATAAGTCATGTAGTACCTACACTATAAAATAAACTTACTAATGTACAATAAATAGTACTATTATTTCACCTGTATACTCACTACCTATATACTAAAATATACAAATATATTGCGTAGCGACACCTCATCACATCATATATAACGTGGTGACTCATACAGTGGTGAGGTGATAACCACTGCGCCACACTGTAAAGTTTCATTAGAATTCGTTCAGTAGTTTTTACATGAAAGAGTCACACAAACATCCACCCGTCCATGTATCCATCCATACTTACAAACTTTCGCATTTATAATATTAGTAGGATAGTCCAAGTTTTGGTATGGCTAAGGGTTTGAACAAGTGGTTTTTCGAACCATTCTACTGCTTGTACGGACTGGTCTGCTTTAATTACTACGACTGTTTTAATCCTATTGTGTACTTAATATCTGAAGCTAATATATTTGTGCTAGTTGGTGGTTTGTATTCGCAAGTTCCGAATTGGAAATGTAAAATTACAGTGATTATTTTAAAGAGCAACACGCAAATTTCTTGCTCGTTCTTCTTGTGATGAGACAGCTTTCCGAATGAGCGGTAGATTAAAAGAATTATAACTATGACTATTCAAAAGTGCTTAAATTAAGTTAAATTGAATAAATTATTTTCTATTCTATTCTGTTGTAATGCTTAGATATATATTATTAATTATATTTGTCAGGTACAATTTTCAGAATTATCTTTGAAGTGAAGGATACAGATGTCATAACCATCTACTGTCAGGGCAAGTTCCACTCCAACTTCTTGCCCAAGATACCTTTGGTGATGGCCAAGTATATTGTGGCATGGGCCGACGTCGAGAGGATCACGCATTGTTTCTTTCATATTGGCAATAAGGTATAGATATCTACAGTTTTTTATTACACAGTCTCGGTGATCTAGTGGTTTAGCACACCGCTTTACTATCCGATGGTCGTGGGTTCAATTCCTCGCACGGTACAAACATTTGTATTCATGAGTATGATTGTTGGTATCGGTCTGGGTGTTTTCTATGTATAATATGTATTTATTTACAAAAAAGAGTGTATCCATGTATATATATATATATATATGAGTTGTCTACTAACCATAACACAAACTCTGCTTAGCTTGGGACTAGATGGCGCTGTGTGAATTGTCCTGAGATATTATTATTATTATTATATCTACTTTTAGGGGAACGCTCTGCTACCAAAAAAGATAGGGGAAAAAACTACATTGGTTTACAGAATGTAGGTAAGGGGAGAAATATATATATTTGTCTTGTACCTGTATGCTCCTGATAGGGTATACGTTTGTTTTGTTTTTGCTAAACTCTGAAATGGTTGAACCGATTTTGAAGGGAATATAGCAGATAGCTAATGGAGAATCTTAGGTTACTTTTACAAACAATATTTATTTTAATAAAAGAGAAGTTTAATTGTGTGCTGGCGACATCTAGTAGGTATCTAAATACATAAAAAAACTTTAAATATATTTCTGATCGTATGTTACATGTCTAGTATTACCCTTGAATTAAAGAGTTGTGTAGTGGACTTTTTATAATGTTACCGAATACTAGACTCATCATATCAAGATTATGAGTTTTATAGAAATTAATATTATTTATTGTATGGGAATAAAAAAAAACTGTATTCAAATAAAAACAAAGAGAAGTTGATCCCTTATAAAATGCATGGTAACATTTTTCACAAAGTGCGTCATTGCTACTAGATTTCATCAGGCGTTTTAGTATAACGTAATGTTACTGAGAAGATCTTAATTGCGAATGCAATAATGATTTCCTATGAATGAAATGGGAAAAAAACTGCGACGTATAGCTAGTTATGTATGGGACACGGTTTCATAGGTTCTTCAATGTAATAGTTGTAGTTAATTATGGCTAGTAAGACATTGAATATTGTCTACTAAGCACAAACCGTGTCATCTCACCTTACATTTTACTATTGTTATTTAGTAGAAAAGTAAAATATTTTTTAACCGCCAACATTGTATTACCACAGATAACATAATTATCCTGCAATATTAGGAAATAAAACTTTATGAATTCTTTCTTTACCTACTGTCTTATTCATCAGTTTGACTAGTTAGGTAATAAGACATTATTGTCTACTTATTTATTTATTTATTTAGAAAGAAAATAGTTTATTTACTTGCATTTCTTATTCAGGGTTTGAGCGGTGATGAAATGACATCACCAAATACTTACCAGCCACCGTCACCTCGGACAGCAATGGTCATTGGTGACGCTAAACGTTGGTACGTAGTTATACATCTATTACTCCGATCGATCCCCCGTCCAATTCATAACATTAACATTGTAAAAAATGTTATTTTGGTGTATGTACCGTATTTATATTCATATGCATGTAATAAAAAACGGCTATTTCAATATTACAAACAGACACTCCAATTTTATTTATATGTATAAATTTATATTTGACCCTAACAAATTAGTGCTGGTTGGTAGTTTGTATTGACTTCTTAATGTGAACTTACAAGGATTATTTAAAAGAGCAACACACAAGTTTCTTGCTCGTTCTCCTTGTGATGAGACTGCTTTCTGAATGAGCGGTATGTAGATTATAAAAAATTGTTATGACTATTCAAAAGTGCTTACATATTAATAAGCTTATATTTGAATAAACGATTTTCTATTCTATTATTATCTTCAATCGTGCGTGCTTTAGCGGCTTTTTGTAATAAACAATTATCATTGTAAAATGGCGGACATCTAACTATAGAGCAAAGAAATCATTATAGAGTTATTGATAATTTATGAATCTTAAACTTCTCTTTTGAGAATAAAAGATGTAAGAGATTGTTTTGAGCGATAAATTTTAAAACAGCCTTTTGTTAGCAAATTTTTTGTATTTTATGCACAATAAAGAGTACCTATTATTATTATTAAATCTGTGGAATAAATACAAGCGTAAAAAAAAAAGTGGAATGACATGAAACATACGCGCTATTACGCGAGGGTGAACACAAGAAATAGAAAAATGTAATCGTTTATATAAAGAGTACTTTTCACAGTTTTCCTCAAAACTTTTTTTTAGTTCCAGACCTTCAAAAAAATCTACACCCGGATCACCTCAGCTACACTCCTCAAACGAGAGCTCTGACGATGAGAAACAAAGACCCAAAGCTGAAGGTCGCGCCGACAGATATTTCTACGAAACACTAATGTGCCAGGAACGTCCGAAATATTCACCGGAATCTATTAAATACAGACGCGACCATAGTGCAGCTAGAAGCAACACAGAGTACAGAAAGTACAGAGACATGACAGACACAGAGAAGAATGACAGCGAGGATTATTCGGAGGAGCTCGCCTCTAAAAATGTAGATTCGTCTGTGGGCGAATCGGATGACGTGCTGCGGGATTTGGGCGCGAAAAAGCGTGGAAGGCGCGGCAAATTTCCATTCGCCCAAGTCGTAAATTTTATGGGGAAAACGGGCAAAAGAAATTAGCATTGTGCCATAATGGAGAGTTGTATTTCAATTGGTGATTTCTGTTTTTTTTATAAATATTGTTTTCGTTTTGATTTGTTGTTTAAATAAAAGAAATCATTTTAACAAAATATGTTTTTTTATACAGGGTAATAAATTATATTAAAATTGTATACAAATTTAAAAGTTACATAATATTAAAAAATAACAATTAATTTGAGGCGTGGTTAGTTAGCCCATTGTGATAAATTCATGGTAAATTTACTACGATGCGCTAACTGACCTGACCTCTTTCATCTTATCATCCTCCACTAGTGCCCCGCCAGCATAAACCGTTCCCGCAGGGCAACATTACATTGTCATCCATAAAAAAAATACAAAACATAGATTTCAATAACAATTCTGTATACCATGTTAGGTTAACCTCTACGTGGTTCCCACTGGAAACCATCGTTATAAATTTATGGTGAATGTATCACGATGGGCTAACTGACCTGACCTCATGCTCATCTTATAATTCTCTACTGGTGCCCCGCCAGCGTAAACAGTTAGCACAGGCAGCCGATCTATAAGTCCTTCCTTTGGTTTGGAGTGCCATCTGCACTCGCCCCCTATCGTCCGGTGAAGCTGTATAAAATGATAGCTGCGACATCATTAGAGTAGTCCGAAAAAAGGGTACACCATTCCATTATTATCCATCAAAAACAATATAGAACATGGATATCAACAATTCTTCACGTAATCACAAATTGTGTCAGCATGTTCCTCCTTCACTCCTATCCTGAGGAGTTGTGATCTATTCACCAGGAACAGTGACTCTCCATCGATCTCATGCTCCTGTAACGCTGACACTGTCTCATCCCATTTGTATTTCGAGAGATACGACAATAGTTGGTCTACCTGAAATTTAATCATAAACAACTATATATCTCCCTCGATGCATGTTCACCTAGTGCAGGGTCCAATGTATAGCTTTGTAATATTTGTATATTTCAGCAATTAATGAACAAAATATATTATTATTTATTATTTATTGCACTATCTAAAATTATTTATTTATTTATTTACGTCACACTAAGTGAGCTTTACAGTTTCCCAATATGCCCACTTAGTAAGATTGTATACATATACACACACTTATAAAACACTAGTTACTAATACATACACTAATTACACAAGAAAAAAAACATAATGTACAATTGGCGAGCTTAATGGACTATGGCATTTATTTGGCTACCAGCTAACCATTGGATAAAAATCATGACCCCCATGGACGCCCTGGATCCGCCGTTGCTACCATCGTAGTATAAAAAAGTCGTATCGGTCAGGCGGGAGTTGATCATCAGCCGCTCCATAAGTCCTTCCTTTGGTTTGTAGTGCCATCTGCACTCGCCTCCTATCGTCTGCTGAAGCTGAAAGGCCAGCTGCGACCAACAGCATTAGAGTAGCTAGATTTTTTTTAAATTTACTTGGTAGAGTAGAGTAGAGTTTTAAAGTTTCTTACCGTCCAAGATTTTACGGTAGTTGGCTTCAGTTCTGCAAATGGGTTATCTGAAACAAACACATATATTTTTATGCACCCATCTGTTCTAACTGGAATAAAAAAAATAGTATTGCTGAAAGATGATAAAATTGGATGAAATAGACATAAAATGTAGAATGTACCATACCATTTGTGGTTTCTGTCACTTTTTCTTCTCTAATTTTCTTTGTCATCGGACTATTCGCTAGTTTCTCGCCTTCAATTCTTAATTCTTCTTTCCCAATTTCTACCACTTTTGGATTAGCATGTGTTCTCTTTGTTGTTGGGTCTCGAATCTAAAATTAGATGAATCTAATAACATACCTTCACGACATTTTTTTTAATGGTAGATATTTGAATGGTGCTTCTACCTTCGCTTTACGCTTGCGGAGCACCAGTGGAGGATGATAGGTTGAACATGAGGTCAGGTCAGTTAGCACAGAGTAAGAAATTCATCAGGAATTTATCTCAATGATTTTCAAAGGTGTGATAGTCCACGTGACTTCATACATAGTTAGTAAATAATAATAACTCTGGACAATTCACACAGAGCCATCTAGTTCCAGCTAAGTAAGCTCTGCATGAATATAAAAGCTTGTATCGAGCTAGGAATCGAACCTGCGAACTTCAGAAGCAAAATGGTGTGCTAAACCGCTAAACTGCTACCGAGGTCTTTGATTTTTAAAATATGTGATGTCACTATAGGGACGAGGGAGTCTCACAAGTGTCCTGCAGTGACAAGGACGGGAGAGGAGGCAAAAAGTCATGAAAATCTTGTGAGGTAATTTCTCGATGATCCCTAGGCAAAGATATAATTTGTAATATACTTACAGGAAACGCCATATTGGATTCTTGTATAACGATACCGTCCAAAACGTGAGTCAAAACAAAATCTTTTTCCTGAGATTTCACATTATTAGTGAACTCAATCTTCTTATCATTTAAATCGTTGATTGATTTCTTTAAGTCGCTCATGCAATCTTTTGACACATTACCATTTTCGACAGCCTCACTTGTGCTAAGTTTATCCTTAATTATCTTATTATCAGTTTTGACATTGTTAACAACCTTTAACTCGTGATTAATGTTTTTAGTGTCTTTTAATATGTTCACTTGACCTTTAATTAGACCTTCATTAGTGCTTAGACCTCTAGCTTGTGTGAATACAGTATGTCTAACTAAATTATCTTTTTCATCTAGTTTAGCTTTTAACTCCATTTTAACCTTTGCTTCTTCGTCCTTTACAGTAACTTTTCTGTTTATAATAGACGCAATCATATCTGTTGTATTTGCTACTACTTCAGTCTTTTTATCATCATTTTTAGGTGCAGTTTCAGTACTTGCAACATGATTTTTCGGTACTGGACTAGTATTCACGCCGATTTCATGTAATTTCTTTACACCTTCTACTGTATTTGGAAACATATTTACATTTATAGTTAACTTTCTTTTTATTTCATCAGGAGACTCACTTTTTCTTTTTCTGTTCTTTATATTTGTTTTTGTTTCTGTACTAGTAGATTTTGTCTGATATGGCACATTTAATTGAGGTTTATTTTGAATACTGACATTAGTGTGTAAAATATTTTGACCAATATTTGGCATTCGAGGGGTAGTTTGATTCTGATGGTAAGACATGTTTTGTATATTGGTTGTATATTGAGGTCTTGGTTGAATAGGTCTATACAAATATGTTTGATTATGTGCAAGAGGTTTTCCGAGTTTTGTTAACATTTGTGCATTGGTGGCTGCATGAACCAATGTTGGAAGTTGTGGTCTGTGATTTGACACATTGGGTGATTGAGTGTGATTAAATGTTGGTACATTTGCATTAGTTTGCTGCATTGGATTTACAGTTATTACTTGTGGTTGCCGCGTTGTGTTAATCTGGTGGTTTATTTGTTGTCCACTGTTCATTTGAATGAAATGTCTTTGGTTATTTGTCATATTTTGTACTGTTTCTACACCTTGGCTTTTTGGAAAGTTCTGTTTCATGCCAATTGGTGAATTGGTCTGTGTTGGAACAGATGTAGTTTGACCAATATTTGGCTTATTTGGTGTATACATTGCTTGTTGAATTCGTTCATTTGCATTGTTTGAACCCATATTAGTATTTGGCGCATACATTTGCGGTTGACACTGACTAATTGGATTGTTTGCACCAATGTTTGGATTATTTTGTACAGAATGCGTCATGTTTGGAATTTGATAAGGTCTAATTTCCTGAGTTTGATTCATCATTGGTTGTAACATTTGTTGATTATAATGTTGTTGGATATACATTTGATTCTGATCCATATGCTGCTGCACAGAAGGAACAATATTGTTTGGTACATTTTGAACATAAACCATCTGATTTTGTAACGGCCTGTTTTGTATCCAAGGTGGTGGATTTTGTGGATTTATGTATATTGTTTGGTTTGGTTGGATTTGATCACCTAGAAATTAATAATTATTATATTCATGTATATGTCTACTACATCGACTGTTAAAAGTTTAAAAAATTCTTATTTTAATATTCAATAACAAGTATATAATAACATTCAGACTTCAAAACCAATGATTGACAACTAACTGTACCCTCTGTACTCTGTAATTTCTCTGCCGTATCTGACCCTTCAACCGCAACAATTTCTGAATTAAGCTGCCTTATAACTAAAATAGGTTACATGACGTTTCTGAGATGCTGTTCATGTAGGTGACAGTGGACTTTTACTATCAGGTGGATCATTCTGTCAGTTTGTTCATCATTCTAGTTACAAAATACATATTTAGATTATAAATTTTATTTAAATAAACTTCATATAAGCACATTTGAATAGTCATATGTTTTATTCTACCACTCATTCGGAACGCAGACTTATCACAAGAACAATGAGCGAGAAACTTGCACGATGCTCTTTTGAATAGGTAAAAGCATGCAGCATTGCATTATGAAGATTTTGAACGAAAACTGTTTTATTTCTTTCATATTCGTTTTGTCATTTGTTTTCTAGACTTGTTTTTACTACATCTCTATCATTTATCGTCTTAAGTATAATTTGTGGCTAATCTCGGCTAAGTAATATTCTAAACATTATTTTTTTTATGAAAATCTTAAAAAAATATTTTTATGAAATTTTTTTATAAAAAAAAAATTTGGTTTTGGCCTTTTCTTACAAGTGAATTTCTTCGTTTCCTCGCTTAAAGCTAAGGTTAGATTTCGTTTAAAAAATAAGGGATTTTTTCGGACTACTCTAATGCTGTTGGCCGCCACTGGCTTTTACAGCATCACCGAACGATAGGGGGCGAGTGCAGATGGCACTCCAAACTCGCAGCAGAACTTATGGAGCGGATGAAAGCCAACTTCTGCCAGGTTTGTCCTTTTCTTACAAGTGAATTTTAACCTTCCTAGCTTAGCTTTAGGATTTAATTTTTAAAATAAGGGTATTAAGTTTTAAAAATACAATTTAATAAATCTATGATATTTACCTGCTTGTACCAATATCTGAGTCTCGTATACCACTCGAACTGGATACAGCATCATTTGTTGTGGATTTGCATGTTGGGACCTGTCAAGGGAACATCTAAGTTTTATATAACTTCGTTTTTTTTGTAATTAAAATAATATCTTAATAGATACTTTAGGATAAAGGTAGGATAGATATAGATACGTTAGGATAGGTAACAGAGTCGGGGCACCAGTGGAGTATGATAAGATGAACATGAGGTTAGGTTAGTTAGCACATCGTGACAAATGTAGGAATTTGTCACGATGTTTTCTAGAGGCAAGAGTGTCAAGATAAATAGAATATTTGCATTCTGCACGCCTTATCCATTTAAACTATAAGTGTGCGAAATTTCATACTTCTCCGTCCGCGCCATTTTTATGAAAAGGGGTACAAAGTTTTTTAATCACGTATTAACATATAGATATAAGCCGAAGCCGGCAGAATTTTTTATAATTTGCGAATCGAATGGTAAGTACATTAAACAAAAAAAAACAGTCAGTCACGCTTGTTATCGCAGACGCCTACTTGCGAGTCATGTTCTCCTGGTATTTTCACTGTAGAATCTATCTGTAATACTATGTCTAAATACCACACCACATACATATACACACATACCACAGATAATATAATCTAATATTATATTATCTGTGGTAATACTAAGATAATTTCACGGTTGTTATCTTTGATGCGGTAGTCAGAAGCATTGTCAACTGTCTATGTTAGGGGGAAGGGAATTGTTAGTAATGTGGACTGATAACTTTCCTTGCTAGCAATGTATGTTAGATTACACGTGTCTACGTGGTTCCCCCTGGAAATCATCGTGTTAAATTCTTGGGGATTTACCACGATGGGCTAATTGTCATGACCCCATATTCGTCTTACCATCCTCCACTGGTGCCCAGCCAGCGTAAAGCGTTAGTGCAGGCTGTTGCGCCACTCTATTATCATTCATAACAGTCGAAGTTGTTGTAAACGCAACATTTGACATGTCCACATTTCATTCGGTATATTTGAATAAAGAAAACACATTACTCCCATAGACGGCGGCAGGCTCTGGCCTACTTGCGAGCCATGTTCTCCTGGTACTGGTTGACGATAACTTCACGACTGTTATCTTTGATGCGGTAGTCAGATTTATTGTCAACTGTCGATGTGGTGAACGCAACACTTGACATGTCCACATTTCGCTCGGTGTATTTGAATAAAGAAAACATTACTCCGGTAAGACGACGGTACGCCTTAGCCTACTTGCGAGTCATGTTCTCCTGGTACATTCACTGTAGTATCGGTAATATTAAGATACTTCACGACTGTTATCTTTGATGTGGTAGTCAGAGTCATTGTCAACTGTCGATGTTGTGGTGAACACAATACTTGACATGTCCACATTTCGTTCGGCATCTATGTTTCAGCCGGCAAGCAGCTTTGTAAGCTGTGTTTCGGTTGAGATTTGGTAGTAAAATTATGCGGTAGAATCACGACTGTTTCGGAGTGACAACACATGAGTTGGTCACATATCCGGTGCTGGTAGGTTCTATTTATTTGATTATTAGGAAGTAAATAAAAAAAAATTAGGTATATCTTTACATAGTATAAAATGAAGTCGCTTTCGCTGTCTGTTCACTTAGATCTTTTAAACTACGAAATGGATTTTAATGCAGTTTTTAGCAATAGATATAGTGATTCAAGAGGAAGGTTTATATGTATAATACATGTATACCCGTGCCAACCCGGGGCGGGTTAGGTAGTAATTAATAAATAAGTAGATATACTGAACTTACCCTATCTGATTTGGTTCATTGCTAGTCTGGTGCTGCATCTGTTAAAAGAATTACTAAATAAAGGAAAGAATAATAAAACCTAATTACAGTCAAATTATAAAGTACTTAATATACCCAAATATAAATTATAAATAAGACATATGTAATATCTCTTAACTACCAAACTGTGTAAAAACTCGTCTGCATGTGTAACCTCAGTCTCACCTATTTCAGCCGCCAAGCAGTTTGCTTTGTAAGCTGTTTCGGTTGTAGGGTGCAGAAATTACAGGGATCACATGTTAGTTCTCTGGTATGGAAATGTATGAGTGGTATACAGGTGTCATGAAAAATGAAAATTAGACTGAGAACCTATCTCTATAAAAGACATGACATCCTAGTCCTCTACCATGGTGACATAAGAGTATCACTGGTGTCACATGATAACGTGATGTCTGTAGTGCTGGTCACTGGTGGATAGGCGACAGTTAGGAACCACTTACCATCAGATGGGACGTCAGCTTGTTTGCCATAACAATGACATAAAAAATGTACTAACTCTATTCTGTAGTGTTCCTCACGTTAGAATATTTATAGCCAGTGTGATGTCAGATGACCGTGCTATAAAATTGGGCAACAACCTATTCTCAAACATAAAACTTTATCAAAAGGGGTTAAGCGTTTCAGACAAATATGACAACTAACAGGAAAAATTTAAATACTAGGTATATATTATACAAATATATATCAGGAATACCATAATACCTACATATTGGGGGAATGGAATTGTTAGTAATGTGGACTGGTGGACACCTGGTTGACCTCCACGCGATTCCCACTGGAAACCATCGTGATAAATTCCTGTAGAATTTGCAACGATGGGCTAACTGACCTGACGTCATGCTTATCTAGTTATCCTACACTGGTGTCCCGCCAGTATAAACCCTTAGCGCAGGCGGAAAGATCATTCCATTATCATCCAATAAAAACAATACCTACCTATTTACACAAAACTAAGAACTCGATTAGCGTTCGATAGAAACGAGTTATCGTCCCTAGAACAGAAGAACAAGTAACGACAAATAAAGTTAAAACGTAACAGGTTTTTGTTAATGCTCAAAATAGGACTTTTACGTCAAAGACATTAAGTTGAATTTCTTAAACTGTCGAATAGAAAACGTTTTCGTACTTGGAATCTTACATGTATATTACTATAAAGCAATAAACAATTCAATTCAAGCTCTTATATTTAAAAACATTAAGTTGAATTTCGTAAATAGCCGAATGCAATAGGATTTTGAATTTGGAATAATTTCGTACGCATCTCAAATTCCGAGACGCAATGAGACAGCAGAGTTCAAATAGTGCATCCCGTTCTAACACATTTTTTGCTCCACGTAATTTATAAGGGTAGGTAGCGGACATTTTAGAGAAATAACTTTAAAAATTTTAAATTAGGAATGTCAAAATATAAAATCTCTTTGATGTCTGACTTATAACGACGGACATAAAGTTCAAAATCATAAATACTTTACTGATTTAACGTGCCAAAGTAAATTAGTCCTTGGAACAGTTACGTAAGGCCTCGTACTGTACAAAAGGCCCAGCTATCGGGAATAATAATAAGTTTCTTTGTCAGACATGGCGTCCTGGCGGTAGACTTTTGCCTAGTGATGTTTATGTGGTATGCAACATTCTATCGAATTATCGATAATAATTTACACATTTTATTTCTTATTATTACTTCGTCGATACTCTTTTAGTTCATCCATTATAAATAGTTATATCGTAAGTACTTCTTCTTTTCCTTTGTTAAAATAAAACCTAGTTTGTTTGTTCATAACTAATACTTTTTTTTATGGCTGAATAATAATAATAATTCAGAACAATTAACACAACGCCATCTAGTCCTAGAACTAAGCAGAGCTTATGTTATGGGTAGGTACTAGACAACAGATATAAATATCTACTGAAATGTTTTTTTTAATACTATTTTTAAAATATATATATATATATATCTACATATATTTTTTATATTATATACTTAGAAAACACCAAGACTGACACAAAGAATTATACTCATGCATAGAAATGTTTGTACCGTGCTAGGAATCGAACCCGCGACCATCGGAATTAAGGCGTTATGCTAAACCATTGAACTACGGTAGCTATTGAATAATGAGTGATTTATTATGTTATTTTGTTGTATTTATATAATCTACTGGCTGTTATCTATACCCGCGACTTAGTTTCCTCTTTCTGAGATCAAAAATATCATAAGATGTATGTCCCACCGATAGCAATCGTCGCGAAAAGAAAAAAATATAATACTGCTTCGATCATTAAACCGCGATGTGGTCATATTTTATCAGTTGCCACACTTATTACGGACTACTTAACCACTAAGTATGTTTTTTTTTAATATGAAATAATAGAACGGTGCACCGCCTATGTTTTTTTATGCATGATAAGGGAATCGTGCAGCCGCCTGCGCTAACGGTTTACGCTGGCGGGGCACCAGAGGTCGAACATGAGGTCAGGTCAGTTAGCCCATCGTGATAAATTCACTAGGAATTTGTCTGGATGGTTCCAGTGGGAACCGCGTAGAGGTCAACCTGACATGGTACATTGCTAGCAATGGGATCATCAGTCCACATTACTAACAATCACCTTTCCCGCCGCACCGCCTATGTTAATGGTATATGCTAGTGGGACACTAGACGATGGGAGTCTTTTGGGATTGAAGTTTTATCATTCAGCCTACATCAGAAAACTCAGGCAAAAGGGGATTGTTAGTAATGTATGATATTAGATTGACCCCCACGCGGTTCCCACTGGAAACCGTCACGTTAAATTATTCGTGAATTTTAGATGATGCGCTAACTATCCTGACCTCATACTCATCTTATCATCCTCCACTGATGCCAGCGTATACCATAGATAGTAGTTTAGCGCAGGCGGGTGCACCAGTGTATTATCATGCATTAAAACTAGTAATTCACTACAAATTAACCACGATGTTTTCCAGGGGAACAGTGGAAGTCAACCAGATTCCATCGTCGTGGATCTCCCAATGGGTAAAGTAACTTAATGGGCGTTAAATGAGGGAGTTATAAAGCACAAAAAAACATTTATAGTTGGAAGAGAGGGGAGGAGGATATTGTTGACCACCACGCGGTCTCCCTTAGAAACCGTCGATGAAATGGTTATTTATAGGTGGGTGAATTTAGTATAATGGGTTAACTGATTTAATAGACAGATACTCATCCCATCATTGACTGATCAGCATAAAAAAATTCAAAAAATATTCGTCAATTAAAAAAATATCATCGATAACAACAACAAATCACAAAAATACTTAGCACATCACTAAAATAAATATAGAACGCCCCTGGGGTAATCAATCTCCCGCCAACGTCTCTATAAATAATATCCATGAGTTAGAAAGAGACAGCATGATGTGTTAGAAAGAGACAAAACATAGTACACCATATCGGATCTATTACTTATCGAGATATTAGGGAGTTTCCATACATTTGTATACACATCTATGGTTACATTAAATAACATTACTGTGCATATATATATGCAGATACTGTTATTTATTATCTGGGCACCAAAATATTATCCTATCATAATAAATTAAATATCTCTACTTAATTTACAATATTAACTTCAAAATACCAATTAAATTATATTACATATACAAAACATGTAAATTATTTGTCACATCATAATTAAAAACTATTTAAAGATGGCGTCCCCTGTTAAATCGAAATTCGAATTTCGAAACCCATCGTCTTCTTATTCTGGTATTTCTCAACACGTCTCTATAAACACTGCAATCGTTTTAGCCTCATAACATACGTTATTGTATCTAGAACTACAAGATTTGGTAAAAAAATAAGTCGTTTCACTTACCTTTATCGTTTCTCCACTATTCAGCGGCTTGGTATGTCTCAGGTTAACAGAAAACGAATTAAAACTTCAAATACAGAGTAACTTCGGACATGCTAGTGAACGAAATGGCTGCACGAATAACGTAAAAGCAATATCCACTGTGCATACAATCTTCACCACTAAACCTCTATCGACGATAAACTAACGACAGTATCGCGTCTCTAACGAACAAAATAACGTAGCTGAGTATCGATTTTATAATATTCCACTCGTTTTGGTACCGGCCAACTCGAGCCAATGATAAAACGGTGGATACGGACGAACCGCATTGGATAGAACGTGTTTTGAAATTAAAACGCGTTCTGTGACCCCAATATCCCCTTGCCTTATTGTATGTCTCTCAGAAATATATATCTATCTCTTTTTAATGCACTATGATTTCACATTTGAAAGACTGCGATATATAATTGCATTTTTCCTGCTTGAAACGGAAAGGTTAAACGTGTTACTGCTTTCGTAGACTGCGTGTTATTTGATTTAAGTTTTATGAATAAAGGAATAAAGTTTAAATTGATTGAATTAAATAAATTCACGTGATAGTGATGTCATTGCATAGAATGGCGGATAAATAAAAGACAAGTGATTCATTTGGGCCTACATTGAAGTAATGATTCTACAATAAATAAACATTGTACATTATTTATTATTCATTGTAACTGTCGTGAAATGCATTGAAAATTGTATTTTATTACGTATACGTTAGATTCCATTAACGAGTACGTTGTAAAGTGTATTATTCCGACGGAAACTTAATGAATAAGATAGTATTTTTTATTAAATTTTTATAACAGGCTCGGGGTATCTATATTGTAGAATTTCGTCTACAAGTAGACGCAACTCGTAGACGAGTCTCACCTATATCAGCTAAGCAGTTTGCTTTGTTAACTGTTCTTCAATTGTAGAATGAAAATTAGACAGAGAAATTATCAACTCTATAAAAGACATGACATCCTAGTCCTCTACCATGGTGATAAGAGTAGTATCATGGGTGTCACATGATAACGTGATGTCCGTAGTACCTACTGTTCATGTACCTATATAGGTGACGGTTACCAAAGGTGGGCCTATTGCATTCCAATAAAAAATCTACGAGAATTTTAAATTTAATTAAGAACGTAACAGTTTTGGTCATGTTAAATAATATTTAAGTCAACAATCTTATAATTAAGTTTAGGGACAAAGTCGTGAATGTTCATAGAAGTAGTTAATACCTACATAGAAGGGGAAAAGGGGATTGTTAGTAATGTGGACTGATGATATTATTGCTAACAATGTACCATGTCAGGTTGATCTCCACGCGGTTCCCCCTGGAAACCATCGTGAGAAATTCTTGGTGAATTTGTCATGATAGACTAACTGACCTGACCTCATGCTCATCTAGTCATCCTCCACTGGTGCCCTGCCAGCGTAAACCATTAACGCAGGCTGTTGCACCATTCTATTATCATCCATAAAAAAAACATACGTAGATATATTATAGAAACTTACGTGTCTGATTAAGATATTCAGTGGATAGATATACATACCTACAATAACTACAATTTATCCTTGACTAGCTGTTGTTGCGACTTCGTCTGTGTGGAATTTAACTTTATTTTTCTAAAATAAAAGTAGCCTAAAGAACTAAAAATTATTTTGTTCGTCTTAATTTATCCGTTCCATTAGGTACCTAGATACTGATAGGTTCAAACTAATACATTTTCATCCTGCATCATCCCTTATTTTATCCCCATGGGGGTTTAATTTATCAAAATCTTATTTAAGCATACGTCTTCATCATAGTAGCTCCAATCTTTAATTTCAGTTCAATCAGTCGAAAATCTAAGAAGATTTATACAAACTTCCTCCCCTATTTTATCCCCTTAGGGGTGGAATTTATCAAAATCCTTTCTCAGGAGACGTCTACGTCATAGTAGCTTTATGCAAAGTCTCAGACCGATCGGTGTAAAATTGACAAAGTTTCATTCAAACTTTCATCCCCTATTTTATCCCCTTGGGGGTAGAATGAATCAAAATCCTTTCTTAGCGGTAGCCTACGTCATAACATCTACCTGCATGTCAAATTTCAGCCCGATCCATCCAGTGGTTTGGGCTGTGCGTTGATAGATCACTATGTCAGTCACCTTTCAGTCACATTTCATCACATTTTCACGAAGGTCATAACTGTTACTTAAAAATTGATTACCCCATACGTACATAGGTACTTATGTACTTTTCAATGGATAATAACAGAATGATACACCCGCCTGCGCTAACGGTTTACGCTGGCGGGGCACCAGTGGAGGATGATAAGATGCATGACGTCAAGTCAGTATAGCCGATCGTGGTAAATTCACCATGAATTTATCACGATGGTTTCCAGGGGGAAACACGTGGACGCGTGGGTACCAGGTATCATATCAACCTGACATGGTACTTTGCTAAATCAAATCAAATTTATTTGCACTAAATATAGGTTTACATTGGTTGTTATTGTAATAGGTATAAAGTCCCATTATGTTTTGCCTCATTAGGCATGCAAAATATATAAATATGAAATATTATTTAATTATTAAATCAATTGTCATCAGAGAATTATAAATACATAGATATTATTATTATTACACTATTATTAATTTAAAAACTCGTTTACGGAGTAAAAACATTTGTCGAGTAACCAACTATTTAATTTATATGTCAATCGTCCTCGTGGATATATAGCAATATATATATATGCAATGGGGTTGTTAGTCCACATTACTAACAATTCCCTTCCCCCCCCAGAGTTTGTGTTATAAATATTTAGATAACTGACAGAAATACATAAATTAGTTAGGTATACCTACCTATATTTTTTTTTTTTTTTTTTTTTTTTTTTTTTTTTTTTTTTTCTTCGACTGGCAACACCGACGACAATTGTCATTTTCAGCTGGCCGTAATAATAAATAAATTTTAATTGTTTATCATACAAATATTATAATTTCAATATTGTTATTAGTGATCTAATAGTGTAATTAGTGTCGATTGTTGTTTGTGTACAGTTTAGTGGTGTATTACTTGCAAAAATCGACATTACAAATAGTGTACCGGCCATCTGTCAAACTGTTCGTGAACAACTAAGTTTTATTCAAAATTATTTTGCAATTGTTTCTTGGATTTATCCCAAGAAACTCATAATCATTGCAAGTTTTACATAAAATATTCATATTAAGTTAAATTAATAATAATTATAGTGAAGTTCGGTTGTTGCATACGTCGAAGGAAAAAAATACCCACTAATTTAATTGTAAGTCTTTTTATATTTTGTATTATTATAATTTAAAGGGAAAAAGCACAATTTATCTACATTTATTTCGTTATTCAGTTAAAACGTTTATTTAGATTATCAATTTATCAAATATAACTTGTATATAATATACCTAGGAGAATTTATTCACAATTTTAACACTTAAACTGTATAGTAAGGTTCAGCTGCTGTTCTCGTTGTAATACTTAGCTTCTTTTAGAAATAGCTCACTTCACTCTCCCTAGTAACTATTTATATTCTTAATAATGTCACTATCTACCCGTTCCACAACTGCGCGGCAGACAGAGATGAAGCTTAAAGTGGCCCTACAAGAACTTCAGGCATCCAAAGATCTCAGTGACAAGTTGATCAGGGAGAGAGAAGAGAGTGAAGATGAAATTTTAAAAATTATAAATAAAAATACACAATTAAAATCTGAATTGTCAGAACTTCATAATAGTCATCAGAAAGTTATTGAGCAGCGGGATCAGCTTCAAGAACTATTAAGTAGCTTTCACCAATGTAGTGATACACATGAGCAAGCCTTGAGGCGTATCACTGAGTTGGAGCTTGAGTTAAAGCAGGCATATCTTAAAATTAATGATCTTGACACAAAATTTGAATCTCAACAAAGTAATGAGATTAGTAATTTATATGATGAGCTTATTAGTGTCGACTGTATGCCTCCTTCTACTTCAGTTCCATGCAGCCATCCAGTTGTGATTGACCTTACTAGTGACACATCACAAGGCAACTATAATAATAACATATGTATGTTGAGTCATAATAAATTAAAAAAATATTTAAAATTAAAAAAGTTTATAACTAAGACTCGGAGTATATTATATAAACGTTCCAAAAATGGTCAGTTGCTGAAAAAAACTAGTTTAAACAATTTAAAATTGCATGATTATATTAATAAGTATAATAATAAACTAGTGGAAAGCCAAAAGTTATATGACATGGATACAAGTTACCTAACTTCAAAAATAAAGAGTTTAGAATCATCGCTTCATGATTTAAATAACAAGTATACTATCTCACAAAAACAAATCCAGGAGCATATTTTGGCAATGGATGATTTGATTGATGTCAGTAAATACAATGCTGACCGTTTTGAGTCGTTAACTAAACATTGTACATGTGATCATTCAACTTTGCCAAATAATAATTCAGTTTCAACTGTGCAGATAAATGAAGTTCAGGGGATTTGTGTCAGTGACTATAATCCTAAAAGTAGCACAATGGTGTTTTCTGACAGAATAGGCTGTAATTTTGGGTCTATATTGAAGTATCATCTTAAGGGTGATGTATTAAATTACTGTATGCCAGGGGCATCATTTGCACAAATTATTAACAAAATTAAATCTACTAAAATAAATAAAATGACCACAGTTGTGTTATTTTTCGGTAATAGTATTAAATTAAATAGACAGGATATAATTAAAGGTATTCAATATTTGTTACAATTGAATGTATATAAGATTGTATTGTGCGCTCTTCCTTATACAAGTAGCCATTATCATAAAAAAATTAACAATAAGGTACATTACCTTAATAATTTATTGCATACATTGACATGTCGTCATAGTGACGTTTTTACATTTTTTGACACTAATAGTTTTATTAGTGATTTTTATTTGACAAAAGATACAATGTATCTTTCTAAATCTTCTAAGAATAAAATAGCCACTTTAGTGGCTTATAATATTGACTTCATGAACAGTTTACATGGTAAACTTCAATATAAAAATTGTGACATAACAAATGATTCTATTAATTTTTG